TCACAAAACAAGGAATGTCGAAATAAGCTTTCTTTTAAATCTGTGCAAAAGAGATGTGGAGAGTGCGAGTAGCCTCTTTTGCAGTTTAAAGTCTTTTGCATCAAGAAAAGCTCATTCAAATTTAAACCAAAACTGTTTTTTTAAACCAAGTATACCTAAAGTAAGAGCCGAGGCATCTTGTATGAAGCTGTACAATCAGTGGAATGATCAAATCTAATCTGAGACCAGCCAGAAAATGATGAGATGTGAACTAATAAACTGATCACTGTAAATAACAAGCTAATTGTTCCAGACACATTCTGTCAGTGAGTTAATTAGACTTTGGCACATCTCCATGAACCGGCACTTTTGTCTTCATCTCTAACAGGGACTCTGCTTCAGACCAGGAAGCTAATCACATCCATTTGCGGATGTCTTAATCATTTCATATGTCACTGTAAGACAGGAGAGAATCACACCTCTGCTGCTGGCATCTGAAGTTTCATCTGAACCGCATTGAAGAAATCCAATTTTTGACTGGAGTCCAAGATTATCATGTAAGCAGGTACAATAATTCTGAGAAAAAACATCCACGCTCATGTTGACAGATCAAAGTCATCAGAAACCTGAATACATTTGTCAAAAATACATCTTCCTTGTTGTCAAACTTAACATTTCAATAAACAGCAACCACATTTCAATCCCCTTTAAGGTCTTGGGACATGAACATTTTAGTGGCCACAAATTCCCCCACAGAGCTCTGAACACGGGGCATGTAAGAAACAGATCAGCATATGGTGGTTGTTAGTTGGAACAGGCCGTGTCTCTTCACCGTTAGAGTTGACTGAAGTGTAGCCACATGTTTTGTATGAGCTCAAGACTTGTCATAAACTATTTACAAAAATCACAGCAGACCTGCAGCCTCTCGTTTTGCTAACCTGTGGGATTATTGTATCCCTGTGCACCCCAATCACATTCACATCTGTCTCCAATGAACTGCTTGGGACCAGAGAAGGCTGCAGTCAGCCGAGTCGACTTTATTCAGCAATAAACATCAGATTACGCTTTTTTCTTATTCTTCTTCTAACTGGGATTCGACATGCAGAAGTTCAAATCTAAGTAATTCAATTACCATCATGAATATAAGAGAAGCGTGCATAAAAGCCCAAGGTCCATGTGAAAAGTGCAATGGGTGAGTTATACGTTAACGACACTCAGAGCTCACATTATGCTCCTCTAAAAGTAAATTGATTTCACTTCGGTGTCTGCGAGAGAATGTGTTTAATGTTTTGATGTGTAAGTTCTGCACTCTTTTTTTTTTCCGTGTCACACAACACTACCACACATTTTCTCTGCCTCTCTCTAAAATGCTCCGTTTATGCCGTGCACTTTAAAGCTAGCTATGCACTGCAGTTGTTGATTTTACCAGATCAAAGATGATCATAATCCAAGAATTATCATCGTGATCAGCAACTTTGGTTGTGGGTATAAAATGTGGGTCCTTCATCTGAAATCTGTGATCTGTGAGAGAGCTTCAAAGGCAGCCGCTATCACTTTTTTTTTTGCTACAGGACACCCTGTGATAAGGTGACTGTGTGAATGCCAAGGTAACTCTGCTACTTTGAAAGAAAGCTACATAATTCATCACCCCGGTCTTTGGGTTAGAAAACATGCTAAATGAATATCATGAAGGCCAGTTGAGCTGTGTCAGCATACGCCTGTCCGGGAACGATGTTTCCTGCTGCTGCTATCAAGACCAGGCAGGACACACTATTAAGAAAGAAGAGAGGAGGCTGTAATTGTGCACAATAGCCCTCTTTAGAGTGTGAACATCCATGAAATATGACAGCTGCTCCTGTTTGAAGGGGGCCAACTTGCCACCACACTGGGGTAATGCAAATGTTTCGTGGAGAAGTTAACACGTTAAGAAAGCTCATTCTGGACAATGAAGAAGGAACTGCAGTGCAGCCCTGCCTCTGTGGGAGAAAATGTAAGCTCCTTTAAAGTAGTTCCAATGCCAGGAGCCAGCAGCTACTAAAGGCTCCCCGATGGGGCTCCACACATCAGTTACATTTGATAAAAGAAGAAAAAAAAAGTCGAGCCAAAGCATTCCGACTACATCCCATGTCAATAGGACATCATTCTCCAGTGCAAAATGTTGAAGCAGAGAGCTGCCCGCTATGTTGGATTTCTTTCCCCACTGACATGCAGTTTCTTTTTGTCATTGGTCCTATGTAAATGCAATTGAAATTCTAGAAAAAAAAACTGGAAAGGAGTGTAAAATGTGGTTTGAACTCAATGCAGTGATTTGCATAAATGTAACATTTTATTTTTAAAAGAAGTGGTGTACAAATGGTGAATATGAGTGTTTTTGGTTTTCTTTTCACTCCTTCATGAAAAATACTAACTTATCTTAAATATGACGGAAACAACAGGCTTAAAATCAGCTGAAAAGAGCCCAACAAGGGGCCGGTAAAGTAAGGGGTATTAAAGAGGAACACGTTGCGACTAATTAACCTGAAGCCCAGGATAATGTCTTTGAGTAGTAAAGATGGGAAAATGTTTGTAAAACTGGAAGAAAAGAAACTGTACAGTAACTGTAAGAGTACAAAATATGAATAAAAGATGCATTCCCATTGCTGACATCGTACTGCACATGTCAGCACAGCGTGGTGTGTAAATGGAACAGTGTGGCTGTGGATGGACCTGCCTGCAGTCCAGATATTGCAAAAGAAAATGTGGTGCATCAACCAAGAATGACTCAGGACTGTTCAGCAACTTGAACTTGTGTGAGAATACAAAGGGACAACATTCCCCAGTTAAGGCTCAAGAAACAGGTTTCCTCTGTCTAACAAATATTTATTGATTGTTATCCCTGTCTCCGGTTTTTTAGGCTTGTTAGTTGTATCAAATTCAGGATGAGCAGATATCTGTGACAAAATAGTAAATCTTTTACAGAGACATATCTAAGAAGAGAAAATACACAATATAAGATGACTAAAAGACACAGCTGGTATAGCAGCACTTGGTGGATGTTTTATTTTATTACAAATCCTTAAACTTCACCCTAATTATGCTCTTTAGATTATGTGCCATTTCTTTTTTCCTCATGCTCCTTCCGATAAGAGTTTTTCTACAACTGTCATTTTGTTTTTTTTATGGAAATTGATTTTTTTTCCCTGTAGTTGATATCGACCTCAGTTTGATTTGCAACAAAAAACTAAGTTGAACTGTTCTGAACCGGCAAGGTTTTGTAATTGCATTTCGAATGGTCAAAATGTGAGCGCTGCCAGGTCCACTGAGATCATGACTGAGGGATTCAAACTTTGATAACAAATCTTGGTATTTTCTTTTAACTAAATTCTCGATTGTGCACATTCCATCTTAATAAGTTTTCAACAAAGCATCCTGTTCAAAACCAATATGTTGCAGAGGCCAGAGGTATTTGTCCTCACTAGCTTGTTGATTGGAATTGTGGAAAAACAAAGAGTGAGCATTTCTGATCATTGTCATGAATAATAAACAATGGTAACCAACACAATAGTTTTCACCTCTCTTTTTTCCTCCCTGTTATCATGCATGTTGCCAGTGAAACCAAAAAAGCCACGTTCAATTGCAGGCTGTTAAAAGTGCATACAGACGAATGAATACGGACGGTGCAATTTGTCTCCAGCTGCGACACCAAATATGTTATTTTTCTGGCTGAATTACAAACCTTAGGACAAAATAAATGCCGCTTAAGGAGAGGAAAAAAGTCAGAAGAATAGCTCAGATGAATTGTCTTTCTGTAGCAACTTTAATTTGTGAGGGAAAACATCTCTGTTCCTCCAACTGAAAGAAATGTCATGACTTTACCTTTAATATTACATCGGGGAAACGTTTTTTATTTTTGCTTTAGCTTGAGAAAATTGGGAGCCACATTGATCAAAGAGTGTTGACAGAGGCTGTGCACAAAACACGAGGACATTCTGGCACCAAGCAGGCTGCTTATTGAAGCGCCTCCAAGAAGACGCCTGCATGAAAGGAGGTCAAATGTACCCAGGATTTTTCTTAATTCAAATTAATACGCTAATACAAATGTTTTCTTTTGTTAGGCTTCTGTTAAATGTGTGCATGCTAACCATACATAAAGTAAAAAAATCTCTTTAATAAAGAATTTAACTAGGCATTTAACATGAGGATTAACATTGCTAATTGTCACTTTGCTGACATTAAGATTGGTCATCCTTTCCTGCAAGTTCCCCCAGTGGTCAAAAAAGCCTTGGAGTACGAGGGTAGCAACAGTGTACACCGAGACAAAGCAGGCTATGGACTTCTGAGATGTGGGTTGCACAGATAAAATCACCTTCTCCAACACCACTCGGGCACAGACAAATAAGGTGACTGATTCAGATGCGGTGTCTGGTCCTCTGGTATATGGGTGCAGTGACATCACTGCCCACTCTGCCACTTCACGGGTCAAAGCAAACAAAACAGTACTTGATCACAAGCCCTAGACTTGATGCTCATTCCCTCACCGATATAAAAGCGTAGCGAGTGGTGTGTTTGTCAGTGGTTCTGCTTGAAGGACCAGACAGATGGGTCAGAAACCCTGCATCTGACTGCAGGCTCCACGCAAGCTGTTTTCAATCAAGGTTGGCTCCCAAAAGACTTCCTGCTAACTCCTGCGCACGAACACACAAAGCCTACCTCCTCTTGTGTTTACGCTGTTCCTTGCCTTGACCTGGGGTTTCCGCAATCATTGAGTTTATTGAATGTAACCCACCCCGGTTACTTCTCCTTTAATGAAAACAATGAATTTGAAAGCTGTAGACTTTTGCAAACTTTCACATTGATATTGACAGCAAAAAACGCATGCGGCGGAGCTCCTAAATGGAGTTGGAAAAACACAAGTTGATGGGTAAGTAAGCAGGCTGAAGTCTGGCTGTTTTGATGGAGAAGAAAAAATGAATTATGTATAAAAAATAAAATTAAAAAATCAAACCAAGAGAATTCTATTTAAAACTTTATTTCAGTTTCTGTTGAATTCTATACTGAATGAAGGCAAAAACAAAAACAGACGGGTAGAAAAATCTGCTGATGTACACCAAGTAAAAGTGCTTTTACACTGAATTTGAGAAAGCAGAGATTTAATACTACAGCTTGCTTATTACAAATGAAATAGGTTTAAAAAATATATATATATATAAAAAAAAGGAATACAATTTTATTCCTGAAATACAAACACTGAAAGTCACAAAGAAATGTTAGACATGTGTGTGCGTATGCCTCAAAATCAATTTAAACTTTATTAATACTGAGTGTAAGAGATGTTCTCTCTCAGTCTGGCGTCCCTCTTTTTGCTCATGTTTTCCGGCGCCGCTTTCCCATAACGGGCGAGAGAGCTGCATCGCCGTCTCTGGAGCCGGATGGTCGCTTTTGGCCAGCGGTCCTCTCCGAGTCACTGTGAATAAACGTGTCCAGAGATGACCTGTTAATCATTTGTGAACTGAGGCCAATCAACAGTAGAACAAGATTCTGGTTACTAAAATGTTCTGTCTAAGGAGAAAAAAAGGAAAATGAAGTACATTACATTTAATTCACTGACTCCTAAACACGTAGCATGCAGGCAAATACCGGACAGCCTAAACAAGCACAATTTGCTCTATTTTATGGTGGGACATCCTTCCTTTTCGCAGCACTGGTGTGCACTAATCTCACACGTTTACTGTTCACAAGCTTCTTGGCCAATGCACACAATCAATACCACAAAAAGCTTACAGCAATAAATTACCCTCCAACCATGAATATCAGTGCTAGGGACCCGTGCACAGTCTTAAAGCCATAAAAACTGTGATTTGTGTTCATCTACAACCAAAAAAACTGAAAAAAACATAAAAAAAGACCCGTTTTTCTCCTGACCTAATACCATCAATCTACATTTTCAAGAGAACATACAAACAAATCAGAGAGTTGGGAAAGATCATACAGTTTAATTACTTCGGAAATGTATTTTTTTTCTGATCATGCATCTGCACATGATCACTTTAACCACTACCATCTCACTGGATTAAGTTTAACAAGCTCTCCAATGTAATTATGACGCACATGGCAAATGGAAAACAAAAATAGGTTCTTATTTGTCTGCAGCTGCCTCTAAGTAACCAGAAGTTCATATAGTCAATTAACTTTAAAAGCCTAATTACTTCGATCAAACGCACGACAAACTGGGCAAACTGCAAAGAAAAATGGCATATTGGACAAACGCAGATGGTCCAGCTGCATGTGGGAGCCCAGCTTCTGATGAGGAAAGAAAACATATTTGTGTATTCAGCAGCAGACTGGTTAATAACCCTCCAGTAAGATCATTACTGCAGACTAAAGCCTCAGGTGCCATAACGACAATGACCTTCTGCTAATACTATTTCCCTCTATAGTGAACAGGTCTGTTTCATAAAAATAGAAAAAATGAAAAAAAACTATCACAGGTTTAAAAAAAAAAAAAAAGCCTCTTACCAACTAAAAGAAAGCAAACTATTTTACTGTTTTCTTTTCCGCTAATTGAATTTGAATCTGTTGAGGATAACAGGTAAGCAAAGGATGGAGATAAAGCTTAGTCTGATAAGAAAACATATCCATTCATGCATGCTCCATACACACATTTGGCTCCAGCCTCACAAATTGATGAGGGGTATTCTGACTACGTTGAGTAAAGCATTATAATAGTGGAAAATAACAAATGGCAAATGAATTCATTCAAAAAGACATTAGAACACTGTCCAGATTGTCCTCGGCAAAGTAATAAAAAAAAAGAAAAAGCAGAGGGAAATTCAGATCCCTCTTTGTAATATTATCGGTGACAGTGAAGGTTTCCTTGTATATTTCTGCACTTAAAATGAAATGGCCCGTTTAATATGTCACAGGGAGCATCGTTTGGAACATTATATAGTATAAAAGGTATCAAAATGCCTAACACGTGTCTGTTATTTACATATAACCTTGTCTGGTAAAATATAGTTTCATGGGCAAAAAGCTTCTCGGCAAACACATGGAGAGGATCTGATGCAGCGGTGTGTGGCGGAAACACCACCATCCTGGTGATGTGGGGTTATGATTCAGTGTCCTAGTCCGTGGTTTGCAATTGAATGAGCTTCAAGCCAGTGCTGTTATCCATTTGTGTCCTTTGGGGATGACGAGATGTGTGTGGCTGTCTTATTGCACTGTCAAAGTCATTTGATTGAGATGAAGCCAGTTTAGTAATATAAATGAGGGGGGGGAAATTAAAAGAAAACACAAAGCAGTCATTTGAAAGACATGATATATTAACGCAGACTGCACACCTGAACGTGTCACCGTCATTATTTAGCCACCACTATCCCTGAGTAATCAGATTTATCGATGATATAGCTCAGAAATGATTACTTGTCAAAAAGAACCAGAAGGCATGAAGTGCAAGAAAAACTGCCCACTATTTCCCCAAAACATGTTGACATGAGAGACTTGTCAAATTGTGATGCAGGGGCAAAGGCTGTAATGCTCTGTGCAGGCAGCTGAAGACGGATGGTGGGGATGTAGAGGAGGAAGCACTGCAAAGCTCTGTCTGGGCTGTAATCACTGAAGCCGCCAACAAAAGGAGCATATTCATTTCTACTGAAGCAGGAGAGAACGCTTCAGGGTGGTATGTATGGAGGATAACAAGGGCAGATTTGCGGTCAGTCATCCAACCCGTGTTGCATGGTGCTGCTGCGCTGATCACAGGCAAATTCACCAAACGGCGACACAAGAAACCAAGACAGCTGTAAAATGATGAGATGATGAATCGGGCTCATTCCAGGTGTGATGTCGCACCAAAACTTGAATAAATGAATGAATAAATAAATCACGGCCTTTATCTCAATGCTTCTTGAAAACGTGTGTAAACAAAATGTCCGAGGCAGACACTTTTCATTATTTCTGCTGCACAATCAACATGGATCAGGGCCCAAAAAATGACTGTTTTCATGACTGCTTTTTTCTTTTAATTTGCCACAAACGTGTCATATTTACATGTTAAGAATCTACTGAAGAAAAAGCATAATCTGTCTAATAATCTGTGTGAATCTTTCTAAATCCACAGAACTAAGAATTTAAATTCAGGATGTAAAATTTCACATAAGCTTTTTCATTTAACTCAAACTAACGTGGTTTTGAGATATTTTTATAGGAGAACCTGAGCCAGTAGAAGTATGCCAACAGCCTATTCACTATTAAATTGTCTTCTAATGGCAAATAACTCCAGACTCTAATGATAGTGTAGCGAACATGTAGTGGTAACAGAGTGGACAAAAATTTGCATAACTTTCCATGAAAATAGTCGAAGACAAAGAAAATGGTGGTAGCATCACTTACTCTACGTTTGAAGAAGACTCTGGACCAAAGATGTCAGAAATTGAACTGAAAGATGAAAAAGAGGACAGATCATTAGCAGATCTTAACTGATTAACTAGCTTTTGCCGTATCCAAACAGGTGTTAAGCTGATTTGTAGCTAACGTAATTACTCTTCACTCAGCAGGTTCTGAACTGCATGACAAAAAGCTGGGATTTTCACAGCATCAAAAACACGTAATATGTCAAAGAATTCAAAGGGAAAAGGTTACCCTAAATATTCCTTTTGTTCTTGTGAACAACACAGAGTAATTAACAGATGATCTTTTGACATAACTGACTTTTCTTTTCTGGAGAGAACCGCACATGTTTCTACTACAGGTGAGCAGAACTGTATAGGCACTTATGAAGGTCACCAGCTCTGTTGTGAGACATTACCGGTACCTGCTCGCCACAGACAGCCCATACAGAACACTTCAATGCCTCCATTTTCTACTCTACAATAAAAAAAAACCCTATCTCAACAGGCTTACAGCTTGTTCTATCCAGTGTTTTTAAATAAGAAATGATGAGACTCAGGTATAACCTGACTTTCTGTGTCTTGTGTACAGTCATTCACAAAATCTGCTGTATTGATTTGGCCGCTCCATTATGGTACAAGTTTAGTCTGTCACCTGCACTCATGTTTGTGTTCTAAAAGTAGAATCTGTGACGTATTATTACTAAATCAATGCTGCTTGATCAATACTTGGCCGGCTTAGCTGTTTAAACATTTTTGGAACAAATATAAAAGTTTATCCAATAAGGCCTTCAGTAACAACAAACTCTGTATCAAGCAGTTGCCAAGCAACCTTTACAGCATGATCGAGTCCGTGTGGTGTGCTGAAGTTGTTTGAACCATTGATTTTTCTTTTCTTGACAGCAGCATACTGTTGACAGACATTCAGTTCAGGCAAAGTCAGATAAGTACAAAACAGTATTCATAAGCAAGTATAAAATAAAACAGCCAGCATTCTTATATGGATCAGTGACACGGAGCTCAGAAAAGAAACAATATCTTACACAACAAAATATATCATTTAATAAAATTTTAAAAAATTATATATAGAATAGTTTTACAGGTTGTAGTTGATATAAAAAAAATGAAAAAAGACTAAAACTAACTGAATTAGATCAAAATTACCAACATATTTGAAAATGTGGGAACAATGGATGCATCCACTGCCTAAAAAGCGAGCACATCATGGCCATCATAATTCTGATAATTGTTACACCTGTAACAAAGATTTCAGAATTTCCAGAAGCCAATTCAATCACTTTCACTTTTGTGATATTTGCAGCTGATACGGTATTCATTCATCCATTTATTCATTTTCTATATCTGCTTCATCCTTTTTTGGGTTGTTGTGAGTAAACAAAGTGTAACCTGGACAGGTCAACAGCTCTACTCAGGGCCAACACAGACACACAAAGGACAAACCACCATGCACATGGACATGAACCCACATGCACAAACACACATGCACACAAAATTGCAGTCAATCTAATATCTCCAATAACCTGACCCATTTTTTTGTTGGAGAAAGCCAAAGAATCCCACCACATACATAAAAAGATGTAAATTCCACATTTAAAAAAGCCTAAGCTGAGATTCAGAGCAGGAATATGACACAGTACAAATGTCTAATAATAAACTACAACTGAACTCAACAGTACAGAAAGAATATATCAAGTATGCCATGTTTATGAGCAAAAGAAATACATCTAGTTTCTTTGTGAGAGAGCTTAATTATATTAAACATAATTTATTCATTGGCGATCCAGTTAGTGCCTCAGTATCACCACTTCAAAACTGAATTGTTCCCAGAAGAGTTGTCTTCCTTTTTATAATCACGCACTAATGACCGAGAATATTAAAATGCCAGAGAATCAAAATCAAGAGGTTTGTGGATAAATAAGATCAAATTTCTCTGTACATGACTGGACAAGCTCCAAGTTAGGCTAAAAAAAACTTTGAGGGTCTGGCCATGAGATCAGAAGCATGCTCTTCTGAAGACCAACATTCACATACACTGTCACATATGCAGAGATTCAGGAGATTAATAATGCAGCCCCTGTTACAAGCAGTCTTTTCAACTTCAGCCTGCTTTGTTTCAATGGCAACAATTTTCCTAATTAACGTGTAAAGCTTGAGGAAATGCAAACATAAAGCCTGTGTAACAGGGTGAATGAAAGGTTTCAATTTACAGCTGGGACGAAAAAATGACAAGTCCTCCTTGGTGATTCTAAAAACTTTCAGGCAGCCTTTGAACATCTTCCTTCAGTTGGACATAATGCTTAAAGTGCAAAGGCGATGGTCAAATGGTCATCGGTGACATGGAAAATTTAAATGGCAGCTTGTCTGATAACTGCAGTGCTGCTTGAAGGGAGACGTGAAGCAATCAATACAATTTCTGGTGGTGCACAGAAGGAGTTTGTCTGGTCTGCAGTCTGGGGCTTCTCTAAGCTCTGATCTTTGCGATTACCCTCAGAGCTATAATTGAGTTCAGATGGATGTATAACGTAATTTAACACCAACACTTTGCATTCTTGATTGGAGTAGGAAAATCAAGGAATATTCTGTTCTACTTAGAAGTTGAGAGGCTGTTTGTATAATTGAGAACACAGACAAGATGTACTGAAAAAGTAAGACATACAAGGTTAGAAAATCTGTCTTCATTCTTATTTTTGTGATCAACCACCTGTTTATGTGACTTTGAAGACTTTTCTTAATCTTGCATAATATTGCGTTTGATCATACTCTGGAAGACAGGTGTTTGAACAGGGAAAGTTTAATCTAAGAATTAGAAACATATTCTATAAGAGGCAGCAACTTCTCCAACTGTCCAGATGGTTGACTCACTTGCTTCAGAATTAACATTGTCAAGGAAAACGTTTTTTGAGACCATTATTGTCATTTTTAATGAGGAACTACTGCTGTACTACTGCACATCACAAACAGGCTTGAAAACGGGTGCCGACTTGATTATTCCTCCTTATAATAAAATAGTACACATGTAAACACAGGGCCTCAACTTTCTGAATAGATACTTTGTAGAAGAGATAGTAATCAGTGCCTTTTATACTCTTTCAATGTGGTCCTGACGTTGTTAGACCTTATCCTTGACCCCTGTAATTATAATCCGAGCTATGGGTCAGATAGAACTACTGCAGGAGTTTGCACTAACACTTGATCAGGACGTGCTGTTCATGCACTCGTCTCTTACCTGCTAATGGACACATCGCTAAATGTGGGACTGGATGACAACTCGATCCCTCCTGCAACTTGACCGGCATCTGCTTCTACGCCTTCTACCCTGATTGCTAAAGGGCTCTGAAAATTGGCTTCTGAAAATTGATCTGAAGAGGGGGGAAAAAATAAACACTGTCAACCTAGACACTGTCTACGGTAAACAAGTTGAGAGCTGGCCTTTGGAGGATTGTGTGCAACAAAAACAAATGTCTGATTTGGACAGATTATTATTTTTCGCATTCAGATTGCTAAATGTATTTCCAAGGTCCTGTTGGCACTGACATTTTGGGAAAACAAAGGATCATTTTAAACACAACAGTAATATTTAGGGACCTTTCACCATCCCTGAAACTACATTATTCAAATGCTTGCGATAACCTTGATTTATTTAACCAATTAGTACCAAAGCAAATCCTCTTCTTGCCAAGAATGCATTGTGTGAAGACTGGATAAAATCAAAATACTTTTGAGGAATATTTCAAAAACATAAAAACAATAACTTAGTGAAAAAACGTGAAAAAATGGGAGCTTACAATCATAAGTTCCAATTACAACATTGACTTTTGTTAACAGCTTCCTTAGCTTTAATAGTCCGAAAGCCAAATCCTCTTCCTTAAAAGTGAAGCTGCAAGTGTGCAAGTACCTGAAGAGCATGATTCCCTAGCATCCTCTTTCTGCTCTTTGACTTCCTGCTTAACAGGAGCTTGCTTGGTGGCCTGTAGGCGACCTCGGACCTGTGCGATTAGCCGGCTGAAGTCGCTGCTGTGCTGCTTCCCTGGTGGCACAGAGAAGCACATATGTTACAACATGCAAAACAGAGAACAGGATTTTTCTTTTAAAAGATTTATAATGTTGAATGTTGTAATAATGTGATCACCATAAAAGAAAAATGTGATGTAAAATGTGATGTACTAAGAAAAATTATGTACTTCCAATAATTTTGACATTATATTCAACATTGAGTCATATCCTACTATCACACAACTAACAGCTGCAACTGAAACATATCTGTCCAACAACATAGATACTGAATAGTGGTTGTTGAGACTGCTTTGAAATTTTTTTCCCTCAACAATTCTATCAAATCGCAAGTCTGTTCATGTGGTTCGTGCATCTGTCAAGGATGCTTCCAGAGACTTCTCAGGTGAATTATTCTGGCCATGTTTTACTGAAAAGGCGGTCTAAACACACCGGCCTTTCCCAGAGGGGTTTAAATAGAATGGTTGATGAGATGGAGTGCTAGGTAGTTCTGTTCAGAGGCATTTTGAACTTTTTAGTATAGCTAAACAATCTTTGTTAGATTTATTCAAATTGACTTCAAAATAACGACTTAAAAATGGGTACGTACTTTTTAAAAACATCATATTCTTCATTTATTGTTAGTCTTTTTCTGTTCAAATAGTGGCTGTCAAACTTACACAGTGTTTAAATATTTCAATCGAGTTGCAGAAAGGTTGAGGTAAAAATTAACTTGAAATATTTTGGACAATGACAGTGGCCTCTGAGGACCCATGTTTGATCCATGAATCCATGCCATCTGCCTCTTACTCCTATTTGGAACCACCATCAACCAACTGACTTCTGAAGCCATCAGACAGCCTATCTGAAGAATAACTGAACTGAAACAGCTTTCCCTGGTCCTGGCTCTAGAACAGAGTTACATGGGGACAAAAGCCAATTGCCGACTGAGGTAGATGGCCAAATCATACAAATGTATCATTTAATGACTGAAAGTGTAGCAGTTACAAAAATAAATAAAGATGAACCAATAATAGAAAATGAATTCTAATCAGCCATTTTGTCCTGTTTTGTTTCAGGTCCAGCCAGAGGCTCTGCCATGCAGCTGACACTAACAGCACTGGTGCCATCTGAGACTTCCTCTCCCTTGGCAAAAATGATCAAAAGAGATTCATGAGTTGATCTGGAGATGATCGAGGGCTACAAAAAACACAAAGACCTAGTGGAAAGGCCTTTGCAAGCCTAGTGAAGTGAGCTGCGGGGCACGTCTAACATCACACCCGCTGTCTCCCTTGCATCAGAGGAGAGCCGGGAAGAAAAGCCGCAAATCAAAAATAAATAAATAATGAAGAAATCCACTGAAGCCACACACAAACTTGGTGCAGAATTGGAAGGTTTCTGATTTCTGCAGGCTAATTCCTCATGATGTGTCCCTAGTACTAATACTTTTTTTCAAATTACTGATTTTTTTTTTTTTATCTTTGTCACCTGGTAGTGGGCAAACAAACAGACATTTAAACAAAAAAAATGGGTTGTTTTTACTCTGAGGCAAAAGCTGTGAAGCAAGTTAAAGATAGTGGTTTCCCACTAGATGCATTACAAGGCATAATCTCCTATTTTTTTCCCCAAGTTTCTCTGGGTTTAAGGATGTTTCCTTAATAACAAATGTTCACAAACTGAAAAAAGGCTGTTGTCACAGTAAGAAAAGGCAGCAAGTCCCCGTGGTTTCACTGTGTGCACGCCGCTTTCACATTCCTATTTGCTCAGTCACCATTCTCCATGCTGGCAGAGTGACTCATCCACATCCTCCTCTGATAAATCAAGAGGTTATCACAGCAGACCGGTTATTTATAGAACCTACCTCCTGTGAGTCACATCCATTTCTCAAACACTTTTAAAGTTAGCTCTACGGAGTTATTTCCAACAAGCTTTTATCTAGTCTAGCTATGTCAATATGACTTTGAATGATGTCCTCTAATGCTGTTGCTTTTTCTTAACTTTGGTCCTGAGCGTAAAAGTAGATGCCCTCTAGATGTGCATGCATCTGTGTGTCTCAGTGACTATCAAAGAGAAATCCAAAGAAATCCTTACTTATAAAAATAAATAAAACAAAAGTAACAAACGTGTTTGTAGTTTCTAGATGTAACCCAGAGGTAAGATTTTGAGTCACCTCATTGGACAGATATTTTAATCTCACCTCTCTCTGTCAAAGTGTTTACTGTAGACACTCATTCAGCATGTTCCCATTTATTTAGATGTTTTGGTGAAGGTGTATGGTTTGGAATGGAGAGCCTCCATTACTCAGGAAATATGTAAAATCCAACTGAGAACTGAGACTTGAAATGTTTTAAAATGATGAATACTGTCTATGCAGGTTTTAAAAAGTACATTATGTGCTTCGCCTCTGCATTAATTTGAAGCAATTACTCCACATGAAACATCATGTTATTCCAGAAACTAAAAAAGCAAGAACGAGGTTTACTTGTGGATTTTCATATTTATCATCTGCCAGTTTCTTTGTGCAACCGTAGAAAGCAAACAATAATCAGTCCAAAAGGTGTGTGTTTTAGAAGCTGCAGGGATAAACATTCACCTCTAAAGCTGCTGGCACAAATGCGCCCTGCAAGGCTGGAAAGAGTGATTCAAGGGATTGACATTGAGATTATATTGGATTTAAATTGAGGGTTTCCCACAGAGGAGACAAGCCTTTTCAAATGATATAAAACCACCTCCACACAGAAGCAATGACATAGGAAATATCTTTTTTTTTAAAAGTAATAATGTGAGGGAGCATATCATTACTAACACCTCTGTTACATTTCCCACTAGGAAGCCCTCGTCAAATGTAAGGCAGCGTCTTCAGTTCCTGGCCTTGTCACTTGAGGATAAGGTGTGAGGGAGAAAAAACACTTACTGATAAAGTAGCTTTCACTACACAACAAGGTAAAAAGAGAATGAACAAGAAAATGTGATACCAAAAATAAGATAGAACTGAGGTTAAAGGCAAGATTTCAAGAGAAAAAGTTACAGATAGAATGAGGTACCATTTGATTGATGCAGAGGGATGATAAGCATACATTGTAAAACATCAGTGTTTTATGATGTCAAACACAGATGTGTAAAACATCAATCTCAGAGAAAAGCTCATTGAGGGCACCTAAAATGTTTAGTTTTCTACTTTTGCAGTCACAGATGTGTTTCACATGTTTTTGTTCAGTAGCTAATAAAGAACATTTTGCTATTTTTTCCGGAGTTTTTCGTTTCAAACTTCAGACTTCATTTCTAAATCTGGAAAACAGACAAAATCACAAAACAAAATAAATTATAATACATATAAAATAGCCAAATATAGGCTTATTACACCTGTTTGACTGTAAAGAAAGAGGGCGTTCTCAGAGGAGATGAGTATTCACGAACTCTGTAGGTTTTAGAGGGTAGAAGAAATGCCACTCTTGGCATCAGACCCAAAATGGGAATGAAAACGTAATTAGGATAACCTATTCCTAAAGGTTTTTTTAATACAGGCGTCCTGTATTCACTTTTACTATAAAGAAAAGATCGTGATCTGAGAAAAACCATGTAAACCAAAGCACCAAAATTTTATGTAGATAAACCTAAACCACCATAAAGTTCACTGCACTGTGAAGGTTGTTAATTCGATACTGTTTGGCCCATGTTGTTTATCTTAAAAACAATACTATACGTATCTCACTTTCTGGATGCTGACAGTGCTTTAAAACTCTACAGCTCGGGGTCCCTGCAGAGTCCCCGTGACAGATGCCGATGGATTCAAAGGGAGAACGTGCTGACAAACCTTCAGAAGAAAGTACTTGCAGAAATTCCACATTTAGAGTCTTATTGACACAAGATTACTTTCCTGGGAGGAAAGTTATCAGGCTTCAAAACACTGGCAATTCCAGTCCCCCGTGTGACAGGCAAATTTGAAAAACTGAATAACAATTACTTCTGAAGCAGTCTCATGTGTTTGCTTACTGACAAGACAGCACCGCTTTAGGTCCATGTGGATGAGGAGGAAGGTTTACATTATTCTAGGCTATAGTAAGTGAAATTAGTTTAAATTAATTTTGTTTCGTTTGTTCATATTTCAGCTGTAAATGCACAAACCTGTTGAATAAATAGTGATATTATTGGCCGTTTAGTCATGACTTTTGTTTTTATGTGTGCAGGAACATCTGCATGCTGTGATGTTGACAAAAAAATTAAAGCATGTTCAGTATTACTTTGATATTTTCTCTTTTGATAAATGGAGTTTGTTTCTATATTCTATATAATGATTTCTAACAAAAAATTCTGAAAAATCTCATTAAGTTACTATAAAAGTAAATCAAAATTACAGCTAACAATAAAAGATAAAGGGACAGAAAAAGGTCTAAAAGGAACCTCTGCTATCAAGCTCTGCCATATGGGATGTATGCTGATGAAAAGAGCAAAGCAATAATGGGACTTTTTAGGAAACTATTAAGAGACTGTGGCACAAATGTCTTATTCAAAATACAATAGCTTTCATATTTGTAAGGATGACAAAAGAATTGTAGGATAAATACTGAGCTCTGAATATTAAGAGTAGTCCTGTAGTTTATTTTATTTATGGTTCTGCCACACTTTCTTTTCAGACCAATAGGAGGATTTCACAAAAGCAAATCCAACCAATTTTATGTTTAAAATAATCATGGGACCATTGTAGCCTCTGTATTTTGCTGTCAGGCTGGTGAGTGTCGACACTGAAAGTGAGTGAAAGAAAAGGGGGGTCGGACTTACTGTAATTTGAATGCATCTCCTCAATTTCCTTTTCAGACTGATTCTTTGAGAAAACCATGACCTGCAAGAGTATTAATAAATGAAATGTAATGGAAACAGCCAGTGAATGCGAACATAACTCTGAAAAACTAACTGTTCACTTTAAATGAATTTACATTACAAATACACTTCACAGTTCAGGCTCTCATCAAACTCTGAGGACATACAGGTTTAGTTTTTCCTTGGAGTTGATTTCTGATCTTCTCATTGGCTTCCACCTCTTTAGCAATCTCCTCAACTGTTAGTGGTAGAAAGAAAAATCATTAGTAGACCAGACACCTCAAATATTGACCATTGTATCTGATTTGAGCCACATTTCAGATCCACAATGCCAAAGTTGAGGCATTCCAGAAAACATAAGTAAGACAAAATACATACGTTTGCAATTTCTTGTCTGCAGACAAACAGGATGCATTTGATCACATTAAAGTTAATAACTTATATGTGGATGCAAAACTTCATTCCTACCAGGATGTTTACAAAGCACAAAGGCTTAATCTCATTTAACTGCCGGCTTGTTCATCTTTGGTGTCCAAGGGCATGTTTATCCATGTTTAAAAAGATTAAAGCTCAGTGTATCTAAACCTTTATCTGCTGCACTTTGTTTCATGATATGTGAATATTTTTGTCCCGGGCACATTAAACAGCCTAACTTCTTTCGTCAAACTAGTTGCTCAACAGCTTTAGAAACCCCCAACTTTTGGCCCAACATCATGAGGTTATCATTCAGCTAAGTGGGGGTCATTCAGTTGTATTTCTTACATAGCAAATAGGACCATCTTTAATGTGTGCAGCCTACTGTACATCTATTTATTTCCTTTGGTATTTTATACCTTTATGGGCATTGGACCTCATTTTACCAAATTAGTTGTATGTCATTTTTAAAACAAGTGGCCGAAGAACTTGCAAAAAGCCTATTTATAATCAGCCTGTGACAGCACATAATTCAACATCTTATCATTGTAATTTGCTTTAATCTTAGGGAAATTTAGACAAAATATACTCACCTGATTTTGGATTTAGAGAGTCGCACTGTGCATTGTATATGTGGACAAAATCTTGGTGTCTTCTAATCAGCTGGTCCCGAGAACCCTGAACTGATAAGTGGCACTCCTTCAACCTCCTCTTCAGCTCTTGCACAGAAAGTAAGTTATACACCAACTTTGCCATTGGATGTCTCTTCTTACTGAAAGAGCTGAACCAAACAGATACACAATTTTTGTTCAGATAGTACACAGTAATTCCACATATTGAGGAATACTTTAACATCGCTGGTGGTAACATTTCTTCAATCCATCATTATGAAATAAAGCTTTACAGATTAAGTGTTTGCGCCGCTACACAAATGTGACTTAATACCACAGAAACTCATAATTGTTGCCCTAATCATCAATCACCCATGAAAAACTAAGTTTCAAAGGCAATTAAAAAAAGATAAGTCTCTGTAATATCATCACAGAAAAAAATGTGCAGTCAAGTCTATGATAACTAAAATTACATAAACAAATCAATTCTGCCAATATAAAGAAAGGCTAATTAACTCTAAGTGAATGGCTTTGGGGAGCAGGTAATACAACCTGTAATGATAAAAGAAACAGATTTTTTGTCCTAATTCAACAAGAAATAAACCCAGATCCTGTCAGCACAACATAGTTGTAAAATGAAATTTTTTTTTTTTTAACTTAATAGGCAGAAGAGATAACAGATAAAGTGATCCAGGTGAAAGAACCACCGACTATCTGTATGGAAAAGACTTCCATCCATCCATCCATCCATCCATTATCGTAACCGCTTATTTCCTAATGAGGTCGCGATAGCCAATGGGCGAGAGGCAGGGTGCACCCTGGACAGACCACCAGTCCTCGCAGGGCCACACAGAGGCACGCAAGGGCAAGGACAAACAACCACACACACTCACACTCACCCCCAAGGGCAATTTAGAATGTCCAATCAACCTAACATGCCGGTTTTTGGACTGCGGGAGGAAGGCGGAGAACCCAGAGAAAACCCACGCAGACACAGGGAGAAGATGCAAACTCAACACAGAAAGGTCCTGGTTCCCCCGGGGACTCGTACCCAGAACCCTCTTGCTGTGAGGTGATGGTGCTAACCACCACATCGTGCCGCACTGGCTTATAGTTTAACAAAATCACTGTTATAAAATGTGTCACCTAAACCAGAATAGTGACATTAATGTAGAGAATGTTTAAATGCATGATACCTGCATTCCCAAAGGAATTTTAATATCTAACCCTACAGAGGTAGGCAATGTGGCCAAAAATACAATCACCTTCTTAGATTTCACTGTTCCAACAATGAGGTAGAATATGTATCAGGATATTTGGTAAAACCATGTAAATACACATGATCTTTTATTTGAAAAAGTAATATTATGTTTGCATTAGGAGTGTTTACAAACATATTAACAAACTAACTAACATTTTAATACATGTTATCCCATAAGGCTTACACATATATGATCTATATCAAATGTAATGCACTTCCTGTATGACATTTTCTAAGTAGTGACGCCCACTATGTTGTGTCTGCAGCTAGATCAGCATGACTCAAGTACTGGAGAACAAAAAAGTATCTTTGTTTAAATGAAGTATTTTACCTTCTCAGGCTCTCCTTCTTCTCTCCACTGGAGAGACAAGTGTCCAGATGCTTGTTGATAAAGTGCTGTGCCACACTTACAGAACACACAGGGCACTCCACTGGAAAAAGATGCATATTAAGATGTCATTAGCATTTAAATCAGCACTAATCTGCCCACCATCAATTACACAGCTAATGAAATATTTGAAGAAAAAAAGAATGTGTATATAAGCAGTATAAAATCCTAATTTGCAATTAATCAAATTAAATCACCCACAACCTGGAAGAAGCAACACCCCCTGTACTTACGACAAATTTAAAAAATATTTAAAAATAACGTAGCAAAGTTTTTTCCTTTTTAAAACACCACCGCTAACATTATTACTCTTGCAAGTCAAAGAATATCTTCAAAATCTAAAAATATGGTATACCAATCAGCTTTTTACTTTATTTGGCTTGTCAGTGTTAGCATCAACAGTTCCCACAGCTGCACTTAACAATTGTTTCTTAATTTAGTTGTTCAAGTTTGAGAAATAAAACTGAACTGATAAACAAAGGAACCTGCCAAAACCACCGGGACCTGCATTCTTCTTTTGAGCTACGGGTAAGTGGTCTTTACCTTTGATTACAGGCTTCATGTCTTTTGATGGTGATAAGGAATGTGCTGCTTGAAATGAACCACTGAAACTTTGTGAAGCTGTGTGCTCTTCTTTAACTGGCTTCAAACTGAGAGTAGATGTATCCTCCACATCTATTGGTTCTTCTTTCACGATCACCAGGTGTTGAGCTTTACCGGAGGATAGGTAAGGGTCACTTGCATTGCAGGGTTGTGCGTCTTCATGAGTTTCTTTATTGGGCGTTGTTCTTGATTTCTTTTGGAAAAACTGACTCATAATAGAGCTGCTTGGCTTCTGGCCCCTCTCTCTGGGAGTTTTGCATTTGACAGCTGAAGCGGGGGTCTTTGGAGATATCGGAGGTGATTCAAAATGTGCTTTTGACAACTCCTGCCTAAAAAAATAATAAAGTAGATGTGAAGAAAAAAAAAGAAGACCATTAGTTAAACATGTAGATAACCACAGTTAGAAGGGTTTATAATTCGGCAAAATCCCACCAACGTAAACAGGGTCTAAACAAAAAAAAGGAAAGCTATATTTGCCAAAACAATGGATGTGCTAAAAAAAAAAAAAAAGCCCAGTGTTGCTAAACTGCACCAGATTAGGTATTATTTTACTTTTCTACTGAGGTAGAAATAGAAGACACTTAGGCTACAGTCTTGGAAAAGTGGAGAGCAAACAATTCGCTGCTGGGCCATTGCATGGCAATAAAATGGAATCAATGAGGTGTGTGATGTTCTGCTTTCCATATTTAAAACTTATTTGTGCTTACTGTTCCCATTAGGACAGGTTGATGCACACGCACGTGTTAGCCCACAGATGCACACACATGCCAAAGCAGCTTTGCACAAATGTGACGTGGAAACACCTCCTCCCCCTCACAAAGACCTTAAAGAAATATCCTCTTCAGGTAGGACTGTCTCGTAAATTTGCACCCTTAGGTAGGACAGTCTAAAACTGGATAAAATAACATAATCTTTTAACACAAACATTAGTTGTGTTTTTTTCCTTATCACAGTAGTATATTAAATGTTTTTCAACAGTACTGTACCCAATAGTTTATATGCTAAAGGCCATAAAGACAATGCTTGATAAAAGAGCAAATCAGCATGGGATAGCATATCCACTGCTGTATGAATTATAATGTAGGACGCAGTTGTTTATTCTGCAGCAGAACTATTTCTCTTTTTTTTTTTTGGTTTGTTTTTTTTTGCAAAAGTGAAATGAGGAGACAGACTGACAATGAAAATATCAAAAGAAACATCTAAAAGTTCCACCTAAAATGTTTTGATTAATTTTAGATGGAAGATAATCAGCGAGACTGATCTAAAGAAAGATTACAATTTCAATATGATTGCATCCATAATTCATGAGTCAGCAGTGGGAAAGAGACTCCTCATCCACATTTGAAGTTTAGATTGAAGTCGAAGTTGAGTGTTCTCAGTGCCTGTAAACTGATGTTAAACTACCCACTTATCTTTAAAAAAAGAGCAGAAATCATATCGTTCATGATAGGAGGTCAGTCTGACAGACATAAATAAGACCTTGTGTTTAATTAAAGTGACTCCATGGTGAATGTCTGTATTAGTCAGCTCGGGTATTGTATTTCTATTGAGATCTTGAAGAGTCGGAGCTGAACAGTCCTAATATTGGATTTAAAAAAATTGTCCTTATAATATATATTATGTCTTTATCTTGTTTTATCTGAAATAGATTAAAGATCACAACTAAACAAGATTATGTATTTGTTTGTAAGGGTGAATTAAAATAAAAATAAACTGAAAACAAGAAATAAACAAAACCTTTTGTTTTGTCGTAACAAAAGGGACATTACTACTTTATCAATAGAAACGTTTGATGAGCAATGTATGCCATGGCCTGTTAGCAAGCACAACTTTCTACCAGAGTAAATTAATCAGACCGGAGAACACAGTAAGAGGTAACTGCAGCAGCAATAAATATATGTAGCTTCATGAAAACAGTTAATGGTTTGCAACAGAAAAAGCTCCCTGTTATAATGGCTGCAAATTAGGGCTATCATCCAAAAAGTACCTAATGCAGTGATTCCACATCGAGTGGCCCACTGACAGAGGCAATCCACAGACACGTGCTAAAGCAGAAAATGCACCTACCAAATGGGCATGTGTGAAATATATGTCTCAATATACAGCTTTTGATACCATTAAGACGATCACTGATTAAAATAAGAAAAGAGCAAAAAACAAACACAAACAAACAGCTGGAAGAAAATGTTGCTATTAATTAGGTGTGTAGGTTGATTGTCTGATATTCAGAAAATTGTAATTCAAAATCAGCACCATCAAACTACAACCATGTTATCACTGAAAATCCTACTACAACTTGCTGTTTTTAAAAATATTAAATTCAGTGCATGTTGCATTTTCTTGACAAAAGAGGAAGAGTCATTTCTATTCATATGGACGACTGGAATATGTATCCATGTCAATGGAACTTGGAACAGTTCATGCCGTTCCATTTGCATTTTAACTACCCTTTTTGGACTTGACCTTGTACATTTTAATTCTGGAGATGGGAATGATCCACAGCAAGAACTTTTCAGACAAATCCATTTCTATGTCAAAAATGGCACTTCATAACAGGGTCACTCGCACAGAATATCTCCTTTTCAGACACTCAATGCGAGACAACAGGAAATTAAAAAGTGGATGAGAGGGCGAACATAATCCATAACAGTGATGGTGATCAGTGGGAAAGTAGTGTGCAGGGAGACCTTTTAGTCTGTTGATGCCGTCAAGGTGATTGATGGAGGCGACAAACGTTACAGCCGTATAAAGTATTTAGCTGTTCTAAGGACATGCACTCAAACATTGAATATATTATTTGGATTCATTCATGCCAATATTTGAAAAGCCAATGACTTATGATTGTAACCTGAATAAAAACAAAATCCAAGAGGCTGAGATGACAGGGCCTATAATTCCTTGGTACTTGGTACTAAAATGTTAATGTTTTTTTTTTTAACAAAACAATCATCATGCTGCATGTAACAAGCCCCAAATGTATCTGTTCAAGACATCCAGCGAATGAAAGCGGTCGGGTAGCAGCAAGAGTCGCAGATAACAAGAAAATCTGGTCTGAGGCAGTGTTTGTTCTGCATCATCATAGCTGTCACCAAAGGACAAACTCAAAGTAGTAAGGTTAATCCTCTTGACACTAACCCACATGTATACATTCTGCTTTAATCAAAACATCAAACCCTAAAGCAACAGAACGCAGAGGTATGTGCAAAAGGGCAATTCGCAAAAGAATCTTAAATTTAATCAGTTCATGAGAAGAAAATCCCCATTTTATTTGGAGGATATCTGTAAATCACAGGGAAATTACTACATGATGATTTTATGGTTGTTTTCAAAGACTGGTATGTTGGAAGCAGGCAGAAATGGGTGTCCTTGTGGGCATACTGAAATCCAGTCAATAATAACGTGATCCAGACCTTTTTTTCAGGCCGTGACAGGTCAAGGCCGGAGGTTTTTCACCACCATTAACAAACCTTTAACAATAATAATAATAATAGTTTTTTAAAAAACAACAACAAATTAATGACAAAAATGAGTTTCTTAAACATAGGTTCCTTCTGCCTTTTTACTTTGGTCGTCTGTAGTAGAGAAAAGCTGGACAAGCTGCGGTCCAGTAGTGTAAATGACACACAATACACTAAGTTACCAGTGAATAGCTAATACCGTTTTAAACGTATCTTTTTAGGAAACATTTTTATTGAAATTCTTACAATCAATATTTTACTTACATTTATTTCCGTATTGTTCTTTTATGTCAAATTAGGTTTAATCACTTTCTGATTGAGTTTTACCAATTTACTAATTACTTGTTTAGTACATTTTATTCTTGTAGCATTTTCATTTTAATATCTTATCTATTTTTACACATCTAATGATCACGTTTCCCCAATACTACCAGTGACGGTTAAGACAAAGAGCATTATTCTGTGTATATGTGTTTGTGTGTGTGTCTCATGGGCTGTGCTGTGGGGAGTTCATTATTTTTCGTGCTTGCTGATTATTTTTTCTTTGCTGGGTTAGGGTTAGCTGCTTCTTTTTTAATTATGTAAAGCAACTTGTGCTGTGATTCTTTCTTTATGAAGAGTGCTTTAGATATAAAGACTGATTCATATAGAGATATGACATTATTGATCTTTACTTCACATCTGGGCAGGTGTGCAATTTGTCAGTAAAATACCATTAAAAAATAGGATTGATGTAATTTCATGTTACCTTGCAGCTTGAAAGTTTGCGACCAAGTCATCCAATAAGCGGTTATTTCTCAGGTCTTGTTCTGTCATTTGCTAAAAAAAAAAGAGGAAGAAGGAAAGAAAGCATCGCTATAGGATAACTAATCACAATAATTGTTTATTATATATTAGGTGTGCACTAGTTCAGTCTGCTGACTGTCATGGGTCTAAAACACTAAGAACAAAAGGGATAACATGAAACCAATGGCAGTAACAAGTGTTGGCCTGATGCTGGATGGCCTTGCCCTGAAACTGTGTGGATTAGCCTGCAGCCAGAGATTTAGCAAATATCTGATAGATGCCACCCTGATTCCATAACAGGCTATCCATTTTCACAAGAGCATTTTATCTGACCAGTCAGGTCCACAAAAATCATTAAGTCAACCATAGGTGAACAGGCAATTAAAGCAGCTATTCATGTAAAATCATTTGTACTATAGATGGCATGGGAGGGAAATACAAACTGTTCAGTTATTTTCATCATTTATTCTATAATACATACTTAACTGGTATAGAATTACAAAAACAGCTGGTTTTGGCCTCAACTCCAAACCATAACCACCTCCCAAAAACAGTCAAATAAAAAGAAAATCTCAAGAATATAGAATTGTTTTCAATTATTTAAAACTAAGTAAGGCAGAAAATGTTACAGGGTGAAATTTTGGCTTTTTTTCCTTTGCTTTACTGGTCTGTTGAATGTTTAGCTGATCATCTTAATTATAGCTGATTAATTTCTATGTGCATAATTTTTACAGAGTTAATGACTTTCATGATGATGCAGGTGCCACTACGCATTCGAGTCACGTTCATACTCACCATATTGCAAACTGGACATTGCAGCTTATAGGAGAGAAATTTTCTGATGCACAAAGAGCAAACTGTAAAAAGAAACAAAAGGGACTTTGTCATATCTGTTAGCAGACAGTTAATATTCCTATTATCTTTTGTTGTTTTAGAGTCACTTTGAGAAGAAAAATCTTAATCATCCACAGAACCATCATATTCGTTTTATACAGAAGTAGTTTTAAAGCCCATATGCACAGTCTGATAGGAGTCAACGTTAAAGCTAAACAGTAGATACATCACACACATTTGACTAATCTTCTTGTCTACCCTCTTTTCATTAGTTTTTGCATATGTTTATTCCGCTTGCATTGTTTTTAAACAATGCAATACACTTAATTCAAGAATCAACACTGCACACGTATGTAGAGAGTGCATACGTCCACAGAACTGAGTAACACACAAAAGCACACAAGCACATTTCACTGGAAAACAACAAAAACAAAAAAGGAACAAAATTAGCTACAGAAGTGAATCAATTCACTTATTCAATACAATTGGAAAAAAAGCCTCCCTAAAGATCTGACTTAGGTGTTTTACTGGAATTAGGCCACTCAGAGTCAGCACACAAAGTGGCCATCTAGCTTTTTTAGCTGAGGGTCTCGGTCCAAGCTGTGAGAGGAATAGGGTCCCTCTTGCCTGCATTAGCCAATCTAACTGCTGCCTCTCTACAGCCTTCTTCCTGCCTCGCGCGACAGGAGGCCAAGAAATTATTAAAGCTGATATGGAGCGGCTTCCTCTCCACATTTGGTGCTTTGAAATCATGTACTGCATTAATCTATTCAGACCAGATGTACAGTATACAAGTATCCTTCTGTCGGACCCGGCCCTGGAGATGTTTGAGAGCTCTTACCTTTCAGGCTAAGTATCTATAAATTAATCTGAATGGGGCAAAGCCTGAAAAAGTGGGTTTCGCCCTAGTAAGAAATGCATTTTTTATTGTTTTTCAAAACAGCTGCATTGACCAACATGAGAATGACACTCATTTGATTTTCAATAAAAAAGAAAGAAATAAGAAAAGATACTGCAACATTTTGAAATGCTAATTGTGAGCTGCCTTTATTCACTGAAATAAATGCACTTCAAGGTAATTCTGAGAGGTAAGCATACAACAGAACTGGAGACAGCAGCATGATAAAAAATCAAACAGCACCTGCAAAGCAATCATGATGCTAAATCTGACATGAGCAACAGCCCATCTCAATTCAAAATCCTTATAGGAGGCAAACTTTGACTTGAATCAGAATACAAGCACATTTTTTTTTATATCATCAGAAGTTGATCTACCTCTTTGAAGGCACCTTTGGCTTTTGCTGTTTAACAGTAGAGCATGACTCCAAAGAGATTTGAACACACAGTTGGATAGCCAATTTAGTTCCCACTTTAAAATGCTTTCCAGCAGTTTTCCAAACAGCTCAGCTCAATTCAAAGTTATTATACAAGCCACAAAGTGTTCTTTTCTTTTATACACACAGAGCTATGTAAAACCTCCAACTGATATGACTCAAAATTATTATAAACGCTGGTGTGTATCTTACTTACAGTTGTGTGAGCATTTAGTCATCATTGAAATGCTGAGGAAGTCAAAGCAAATCGGACAACGCAGCAGGGTATCAACATTCTGTGGATGAAAAAACCTTGTGTAAAGTAAATATGACACACAGAATCAGTTCCAATCATCTGTAGACAAACAGCTGGATGACATAGTTGAAATTTCCTTTTCCATTTTTGGAATTTTCACCTACTTTAGCTGCTATATTGTATGACAGAAACAATTAATTTAAATCATAATTGTGAACTGCATCACTAGACAGCAAAGGCATGGATTTGCTGTGAAATGGTGCCATCAAAAAACAAGCTTAATCTATTTCAAAAGCATGTTTTACAAAGCCACACACTTTAGTTATTCGGTAAAACTGTCCCGTCACACCAGTGTTTTGTTTGTACATCCATTCAAGTGCTCTTACATTTATGTATTTTTAAGTGTTATAAATAAAAACAGTGAATGAAGACTTTGCAACTGTGGCAATTCATTTTTTTTTGCAAAGAGATGTAGATAGGGAGCTAAGATTTACTGTGAAATTGGATTTACTCGCATTACTGTTGTGCAGCATTGTGAAGGAAGTTTGCATCGTCTTAAGAGACTTCTTGTGACTCCTTAGAGCACTTTAAGAGGGTAATGTCACGTTTAAGGTTTTTACAAAGTGTAACCGTTAAACGCAATTCCAACTGTGGGCTTAAGTGATGCTTAACTCATTACTAACAACGCTTGCATCTTTCTTGGATTTAGCTGCATATACTTTTATGCTAGCTGAGGGGGGTTGTCGCAGCTATTGGCTACGAGGTAGTGTCTGTAAAACCAGTTCATTTTAATATAAATATGACAATGACTTACTTTCAGACAAGCAAGACTTGGCGGTAAATCCGGTTCAACATGACGGGCCATGACAGGGACAACTTGTAGTTTGGAAGGTTAGCAATACTGTTTTCTTTGCAGTGTCCCGCTCGAAAGGTTGCCAACTGACGTCATATATCAACTTCCGCAGGCGCCGAGGAACAAATGCATGTGCTGCGTTCTGGGCCGGAGGGACGTTGGATTTTACAAACGTCACCACCATATTTTCATAGGAAACAAATTTCAGCTCCAATAAGCAGATTTAAAGTCATATTAAGATTTATTATATTATGTGATCGTTATGTTGAGTTATTTGGATGAGTATTTAAGACCCCCCCACACACAGTTTTTCGGTAACATGACAATATAGTGACTTAGAAGATTTGACAATGTCTTAACGTTTGCACTTAAAATTAGATGTTTTTAGGCTGTTAAGCATCAGACTAAATGCTGACCTTAACGTTAAAGCTACAGTATTGGTTATGTGACTTCTCCAATTAAGTCAGTGGCGAAAAAGAGCTGATGTAGTTCAACTGCTTGCTGATAGTTCGAATCTTGTACAGCAGTTACAGTCCCCAGGATCATTGATCCCGTATCCTTAACAAGGCACTAACACCTTAGTATCACTGCATTCTTGACTCGATTTTTCATGTACACAATGTTGTACTCTAATCTGCAAGGAAAATGTAAAGTTGTTTATGGTGACAAACGGGTAGACAGGTACTCCAATCATCTATAAAATTAACATACATTTGAATGCATGTGCGTGCCCTGGCTAAGATGAGCAGTGCTTACACTGCACATTTAAGTCATTAAGAAGTCAATTAAAAAGCACACAAGGATTTTGACCATGTATCCACATCCAAAGTGGAAAGAAATACTAAGCAAATGTAAAAGTCTGCTTGAATCAAAACAGTAACGACTAGAAAGCTTTTTCCTCTGACAATTTGGAGAGACTCTTGGGTCCAGTTTGAAAGTCTGCTCATGAAACAACTCTTTCACTTATATCTGGAACTAAGCTTTCATGTGTTCATGTAAGCTTTCAAGAATATATTGAAAATGAACAAATGATGGAATGTCGTAGAGTTGCAGACAAACAGGAAAATGGGTAGACCCATATATGTCAGCACATGCAAAGTAAATGACTTTACCTCCATGCCTTGGTCTTACATAGCTAAAACTGGAAAACACCCACAGTAACATTTAATAAAGTAGTACTGCATCAGATATTCAGCATTTTCACAGTTATTCAACATTTATCAGAGGTGGGCAGAGGATTTGTTACAGAATATAGATTATTTAGGTCTTGCCTCACCTTGCACAATATTTTTCCTATGAGTCGCACCTGTTAGAATTTTGGAAAGCTGAACTGATTCAGGTATCTGTGAAACTGTAAATGCCAAGGTCAATCAAGCTTCTCGCTCCAATTCGTTATCATAGGTTTCATTCAAGCTGAGATAACATCATGCAGTTCTTCTTTTCCTCACTGGAGTCTTTTGTACTGAAACATTTCATGTGTGTGTGCGTATTGTCCCTGACATGCCACCGTTTCATTTAAATTCATGTTCACTTTTTGTGAACATGAATTTAATTTGTGGCATTCCCAAATGCCACACATTACAGACAGTTACACAGGAGAAGCTCATGCAGAATGATAATAGCAGAGACACTTAAAGTGTCATGAAAGCAGATGATTCATGTTATCTTAAATCAAATCAGTCTTCTTTACATCAGGTTGCTTCTGCAGCATTTTGACCAACCCCAAGTCTATTTCAGCACTTTGGAAAGATATTCTGATGAGAATGGACAGCAGGAGAGTTTAATCATTTGGTACTCAGCCAAGCAGAATTATATGCTTCTATTTGCAAAATGCCTTGATTCAGCGAATGCTTATGAGGCTCAGTTTCACATTTACTGGAATTGTGTTCCGGGATAAATCCATCATGTCAAAAAAATTCTAAATGTTCTATTCACTGCTTGGCTGCATTACTGATCCTTTGTGAGTAACAGCTATCTGTAGCTCACTGGTGTTTTGTCTGGCTGAACATGTGATGGATTTTATGTTATGTTCTTTAGGCGACTTTCTCCTCATATGGAAAAAACATTATAAAATGCAGTTCCCTTGGAGGCCATCTCTCAAAATAATTTAAAGGAAAATTTTCTCAGTATTTTATATGGTATGGATTATTCTAAAATTGTCTTCCCCTTCTTATATGAAAGGAAAGACGATTAAACAAATAAATAACTTTATTTGCTTTGCTTAAGATTTCCTTGAATATATCAATCCAAAGCAACCAGCTTAGTCCTTTAGGCTCCTCTTTGATATCCAGAAGTTTGTAGACAGGACATAAGATAAATGTATGTGTTATGAATAGTTTAGTATCAGTGGATTTGAGTTAGTCTCTTGTCACAAACTAGTCTTGTAAATTCTTCTTATTAAAGAGGACAAGGAATTAAAAAAAAAAAGAATAGATAATTGCCATGATATCATGCCTATTTATTAACACCTGAAAATCATTTTCATTGGGAAATTGTTCAAAATTGGAGAGTATTCTGCAGCACTGTGAGATGTCCTGCATTGCGTTTTTTTCTTTAAATATGCAGCTTCTGTAGAACAAGAAACGCACCACGGATCACTGCAGCATTTGCATTGATTTTTTTATTGGGAAAACAGATGCCTTATGACAAACTGCATAAAGGTACTCCATGTGAGTTATGTAGTCAAACAGACTAACTTCATTTGACAATACAATCTGTGATATCAGCTTTCCAGATTTCATATTCAATACTTGGGAAGAGCAGAATTCATTGTTCTCTTTTACAAGATGTCAAAGAGCCGTGCTGTTCCTTATCAGTGTTACATTTTTATCTATTCTGAACAGGTATATTTACATCTAATGAGACCCTTAGCAATGAGTCATCTAACCCTGTGTTGCCCAGTGCACATGGCCAGACTTGTCTGGCATTTTAACAATGGTCTGAGCTGAGGAAGATTTGTAAAAGAAGATTAAGCAAGCTATGTGTGTTGCTAAACAGTGCCTTACAGCCCTGTTTTTTAAATATGGTGACGAATGAGCATTCATTGTTTATCTACAGCTTCTTTTTTTCCTTTTTTTTTTCTTTGCTTGATGTTCCAATATTTTTTAGATTTTTATGGCTTGTGCTTTGTCTTAAATAGAAAGAATCTGACAGTTTAATTTAGAGGGAGCCAGGTAGCAATAATATGCCTTTTGGCGTTTATTTCTTGTGATCTTAGTGCAAAAATTGCTACCTTCTTTTCTTGTTGATGCAACTTTCATTTTCAAGCATTTAATCTTTCAGATATTCTTGGGATAATATGGTGGGTTAGTGTTTCAGCGTTGTTAATCATGAGAATTATTTTCCCCAAAAGAACCCTCACATTTTGTCTTCACAAAAGAAAAATGCTAGGAAACATAAAACAGATAAATGGACCGCATAAATCACCTCTCTGAAGACATATTTACAAGTGCTAGCACCCAGTATAAAAGATCCATATGCTGCTTTGCATCAAAGTCATTGTGGATCATCACATTACTTTGTGAAGTGGAATTAAAAGCAAAAGGATTTCTCATTTAACCCCACTGGTTGGTTAAAACAATTTTTTGCAGAAAGGAGGGTGTTGCTGGAATATCCAGGGATCACCATGAATGCATGAGTTAGTTTGTTTGTAGCTTGGCAACAAGTGTCCTGATGATGTCACCTGCAGCGTGGGCTGGTAACACAGCGGAACTCCCTTAACACCATGGACAGAAACTCCCAACAAATAGTTTTATATCTGAGGTGCAGACATTCCTTCTCATTGTATGTGTCAGGGATTATGTCACCTGTTGCTTAAAGGAGGACTTGCTCCTTTACAAATTGAGGAGGTCCTCGTTGGCACTTGATTCACACTCTCAGTTTGAATGTCAGGTACAGGCAGACTTAAAAAAACTTTGAGTTTTGTATAAAAAGGTTCTAAGAGCCCAGCTACATGACTTCTACTGTGTTTCCCATTCTGAGGATATATGCTCACACATGCATTGTGAGTCCTGCATTGATGAATAGTTTATGATACGCTGCGGACATAGTAAACAGTACCTTTGTAACACATTGTTGAGGTATCTGTATGTGGATTGTACAGAATAACATCGATATGTTGTTGACCATTTTTTGTAGTTTAGTCATCGATTTCAGTAATACATGCTGCAATGCCCAACTGAAAATGAGTTGAAGGGAATCATCTTTTCTCCCTTTTCTTTTCATAACAGTGCAGTATATCATCCTTTTAGAATGGGTAATGGCTATTCATAAATCAGCTACAACTTTTTGTAATGGAAGAAAATAGTAGTTTAACATGGATCATATCAAGTAGCTGAGCCAGCAGCTCCTTTGTATTTCTTACATTGTCTGCTTCTGTAATGGAGCTGGTGCAGCATGTTCTTACGCATATATATCTGTTCGAGCAAGTGGCACGCAAGCTTTCACTCAACTAAATGAACCCAATGAACCAAAAGATCCAGCAAAGGAATGTACAATATTGGACTACAAATTGGTGTTTTATCCCATCCAGACAGATGTGGGAACTTAGGTTGCACTTTTAGCTTTACCTGTGTTGGTTTTGTTGCTGCTGGAGCACTAGTAGTTTCCTGTTAACCATTTCAAGATCTGCAGAGTAATTCAGTAAACACCAAAGAAGTGATACTCAAAGCTAATGATCGCTAATGTAATGCTTAAAGCAGATATCCAAGCTTTTCTGCCCAGACTTGATGATATTGCATAAAACACATTGTCACATTGTGTTTCACATTCATGAGGTGTTATACCTGAAGAATGGCTTGTCTGGAAAACAGAGACTAAACATAGGTGTACCCTTGGCGAATCAACAACAAAAATAACCTAGCTCACACCTATTATGTTTTAGTGTTATTGTTTTCACATCATTGCATTTGTTATCAAAAAAGTGATGTATGACCAGTTATGACCCAGCCATGCAATGACAGGATATAAAACCTGTAACGTGCTGTTAAAGTGCTAAAACCTGTTGTCAGGGAATGACACGAAGAGTAATACGCGCTGGTCCTGTGTGACATGTCATGTACTCTTTGGTGTTTCTCAAGAGAAGATGTGCGTGGACAATAACAAGCACGAACCTGACTTGTCTGTGACTGTGTCCTCAAGCTTCATTTATTATGCATGCAGTATGTGCTCTACCCGGCTACACTCCTGCACTTCAAAGATGTGGGCATAGCAGGAAATGTCACTGAATTTAGAAGTGTTGCCATCTGCTGTAACCTTGAAAAAATATTGATTGATTTCTGTTCCATTGGTGCATGTGGAAGTCAAACATCAGTGACATAGGTTTAACCACTCTGCATTTCAACCTTGTTATTGATGTAACTCAAGCTGAATTCACTTAAAATTCATTCACGATTTTTATCAACTGCATTTTGGTTTGTGAGAATAGTTACTACAGAGTGTGAATTGTATGAGAATGGAGCAGAAAAAGTTTGTTAGGACAGTGAATCCCAACCACTCATCACTTCTCCTCCAGGGGTTTTATCTCATGACTGTAACTGTTTCAGCGCTAATTATATTGATATGGATAAGATGGGAAAATAGGCAATGAAAGTTCAAACAAGAAGCTATGTTAACCTTTTTATACCATGACTCTCATAAAGAGATTATTCTTTATTGAAGCATTTTTTCTCATTTGTACATTAATTATTATGGATTATGAGCCAAATTAGGCCGACAGAGATGGCTTATGCAACTTATTATCCAACTCAGCTGCGGCATCTGTTCTTGAAAAGACACACCTCATTCTAAAGAGGCCCAGAGTGATATATTAGACCATTTCAAAGTTTATCTCTGACAAAACTCACAATCAATCAACACAAACACACCTATTTTACCATCCTTAGACTAATGGGTATGTAAGATGACCTGTGACAGCCACCTTTACTGTGTGATGCTGCTTCCATCCTTATGGGCACTGTTTGGCTAACACTTATTCCGCGATAATTCAAATAACATGTCGTCACGTCAAAACAGGGAATTGTAGAGGGTCTTTTCCTGTTGTTTGGTGGTATGCCTTACAGACTTATGAAAAAATGTAAATGCAGTTGTCTGTTTGACATGTTGCTGTTGAACAGGGGTCTCTCGCTCGGAACAAATTGAATTTTGTTGATGCTCTGTCAGTGTGCACTGCTAGTGTAAGACTCTCTATCCGAATGGTTAGAAATTCAATTTCACAAGGAGATGTAATCACTTAATTTATGCTAAACTTACTTGCAGTACTCTTGGGTAGTGTTCACAGTGCTTGTTGCAGATCCTCAGAAAGTAATCTACTGAATGACTACATGCTAATCATGTAAAGCTGATGTTCACCTGACACTTTCTCTGCTGCAGTTTCTCCATCATGTGGCCAGTGAATGAACTACAAAATTTGATTTACAAGTGTCATTGTTAATGTTTTTTTTAAATCACTTCACTGAAATGTCCTGTATGAAATTGTGGAAAATTTGCACGACCCTATCCAAACTGCCACTGGGTGGGATGAAGTGTACACCATGGAAAGCTATTATGTAAGTTCTATAAATTGAAATCTGTTCCCAACAATTTTTCTCAATAGAGCTTTTTCCCCCCTTCTTCCATTTGTGCACTTTTAAAGCACACACGCCCTTTATGTATGATGTAATGTGTCATTGTTGTGGTTTGGTTTCACTTGTATTGTTACTGAAATGAATAACATATTTTGATTTGCGTTTCCCCAATTTTGGCTGAAATTTTACAATTAAGTTAATGAAGTCTTTCGTTCATCTTTATTTCTGCCTACCTTACATCATCACCAGTGGTTAAAACATGTATAGAAACAATAATTTGGGGTAACTTGACTTTAAACGCTGCAAATAAATTTTATGACACATCCAGTCAAAAATCTTCTTTGAATTTAATGGAATTATCACATAATCTTATAATACAATATATGTTCTGTAAGGAATTCAAGAAAAAAATATCTTTATGCAAAGATTAGATATGAGATATCTGATTTAATGTAAAATAACAAACCGAAGTGTGCAATATTGTATATATATATATATATATATGTGTGTGTGTGTCTGTATGTGTATAATTGTCCCACCGTTTCATTTATAATTTGTCAAATACATCCTGGATATTCTATGTTGATTACTCCTGAAATCCTTTTGAAATCCTGATGTTCTCCTGTGGCGTTTTTCTTTCAATACTGACTTCTTGTTCTGGTCGGCCTTAATTCACAAAAAGGATTCAGTCAGAAAAAATTCACATCACAGAGCAATAATGATTTTATTTCGATGCATGAGTTTTCGCTTTTCAGTCAGTGGGATGACACACACTACATCACAGGTTTCAACCAGCCAGACACTCATCAACAAACAGCATCACTAGACGAACAGTTAAAGAGAAGATAAACAGTGTGACAGTAATTCACACTCTAACGAGGCCACACTCGGCTCTTCCCCTGTGATGTTCTTTTTCAGAAACGATGTACTGCTCTCTCCCGTTCGCAGACAATGTGACTCATTTCAGCACATTTTCAGGGAAAGAAAATGCCACTTCACACCACAAGTAGAGAGAAAAACTGAGTACACCAAGTTCCTTGTAACCAATACATGACAGAGGCTCATATCAGTCAGCTGTTACCAACATCATCACAACTCCTCTTTGAAATGATGAGAGCTTAAGGCTTTACCACAGCACAAGTAGATCACAGGAGAAACTAAAAGGATGAGACATACTCTGAGATGATCCTTCTGAAAATTACCAGTAGACTATGTATACAGCAGTTGTATTTCTTCCTGATAAGCAGTTTTAGATGATTCTTCACAAAAGGAATCACTTTACACACTTTCCGTTCCATGTGGTGGTTTGACTGAGTCGCAACAGAGCTTAGGTCAGAAAAGCAATATCAGTTTACAATGAACATGACAACTAATAGACAAATATTACAGTTAAAAAAAGTATAAAAGCAAAAGTCCAATAAGAATCAATGTTGTGCACAAAAGGCACTTAAATGTTTGGTTTCACTTTCACAAGTGTCCATAAATAATAATAATAAAAAAAACATTCCAGTTAAATATGAATAGTTCACTTCATAAAATTCTGTGCTTTCTGTTACATTGTTTTCATAGACTTGACTGTAACCAGGAAAACAAAAAGAAACAAGAATAACATACATGATAGCCGGCTTTTCTGCTGGTTGGTGGTCAAACGCAGCAGTACCATAAAGAACCAGCAGAGGACGGGAGCGCACATCAATTGATATATTGCCTTTTGTCTTGGCTTCATGAGCCTGGTGTTCCTTACAACCCTCCTGCAGAAACACTGGGACGTCCGGCCGTGACATTTACAAACAAAACATTGTAGACAAGCAAATACTTTGAGTTCACAATGCGTATGTTTTATCAATAGAGGAATCAAGGCCTGGTTTTAGAGATAATAATGGAGTTAGTCATGGTGTAAGAGGTTTAAGCATTTATTTCCCCAAAGAATCAAGCTATTAGTTCCCATTCACATGAAGTATATAGCAACAGCTACAAGTAAACTAATTCCTTATTCTGATCCATGTCAATTGTAAAGCCAGTTCCTCCAGTACTGAATTAACCCAGGCAAAGTACCACATACAGCCATTGAGTCTTAATTCAGTCCCACACTATAGCGCAAAGCATGCAGAACAGAGAAGACGCTTTAAAATGCGGATTACAAGATCTCTCGACCAAATTTATCAGAAGAAAAGTGTTTGAAAAGCTAAAAACAATTGAATGCTCCTATTCAGTTTTCATCCAGCAAAAAAAGGTAGCTTGTGCACTCTGAGGGTAACTCAGAAAGATCAGACAAAGGTAGAAAGTAAGGAGGCTCCACTGGATGAAGTTTGGCCTTCAAACTAATTTGAATGTTAACCTTTGGAGGGTACAATATTATCTTTGCCATAGAAAGTAACCAAAATCAGATTTTAATGGAAAACTACAAAAATGACAACCCAGTAAAAATGGGAATAGGTTGGAGAAACATGACGGAGTCCTTTTTTTAAGCCTATGTTCTACAGTACTTTTATCAAATGTTTTCTAAACACACAGTACATGGGAAATGACCTGAACTGTATATCAAAGTCAAATTATATTTTTACATTTTACTGAACCGATAAAAAGGGAGTTAATTAAATTTACAAGTGCAGTTCACACCAACCCTTTGCCTTTTTTCAAAATTAACCTGTACAGTTTAACACTTACAAATTACTTGCTATATATTATGTACAGGCTTACCACAGATTTCCTACATTAGTCGGCACACAAGTTTTCTATATTCTATACACAGCACATGGAAATATAACATGGAAACAGGCACGTCAGTGTCTGTCCACAGTCCAACCATGCATGAAGATTTTAGGAAAAGTCGTTCTAAATTACCGAGCCACTGATTAGTAAAGTAACTTCAGTGGTCCTCTTCATGCCAAGATGCTTCATCTTTTGCAGCGATGCCACATACATGCCAATTTTCAAATCTGCAGTCAATGGCAAAACGTATTTCTTTTGAAATTATCTGAAACAGCTGAAACTTGAATTTTCATTTTCAATATTGCGAATAAGGTCTCAAGCTGTTGTCTTCTTAGAATGATTAACAAACATGTTCATGGACGTTATAGATCGTCGCAAGTCATTTCCTTATGTTCCCCAGTCCTTGCATGCAGGCAATAAATGTCACTACTTTGTTACTTTACTGAACACCCTAGATTATAATGCAAACAGAACAGGTGACTTCAAGTAAGATTCTATAACCTTAAGGCTTAAATTCTAAATGATCAACAGAGGTGGTGTTTTAGCCTGAATGCCTCACACAGCCCAGTTGGGGAGTTTTCACACTCCTCACACACAAAGTCTGAACCGGACTGAACGCGATGAGCCAAATTTCACACAAGTATTGCTTTACTTGCATTAAATGCATCTCATATCTCATAAACGAGAACATGGCCAGAGATTTCTGTTCAAATGAGGTAAAACTGAAATACATATTTTGTTACACACGTTTGCTGTTAAGTCAAGTTTCACAGAGAGCTGAGGTTTACACCATCCCACCTCTACAGATTTTTCTTCTGCTTTATCGCCATGGTAACATGGAGTCTCCTGGTCACAGAGAAGCATTTTTCTTCCTGCTTTCCTCAGATCAACACTTGTTTCCACCCATTTAGAAAGCTTTATAGCATTCTGACCAAGCAGATTCCACTTTTGCTACATTGTCCCAGTTTTGTCCCCTCCATCACCAGAAATATTCACATTGGAACCAGAAGCTGAATTGTTACTTGGAAACATCTTCTCAGTGGGGGTTACAGCAGGGCTGCCGACCCCTGAGGAGCTGGAGCTGCTTGAGCGGTACTGCGTTGGAGGAGGACGCACCGGCCTCATGGGCGGGGGACGCAGTTGAGCCCCGGCCAGCCGGGCAGAGAGCGCGGGTTTGAAGGTGGTCATCATCTCAGAGGTCGAGCTGCTGCTTCGCCGCATGGCTGCATCCGGGTCGCGAATCATTATGGTGTGAAGGGGGCTGCCTGGCTCTGAGCTGACTGGGTTCTTCATCGGCTCCAGGGTGTCAAGGACCACGTCGGGGGCCTGTTTGACAGTGTTTTGACGCTCAAGCTCACGCAGCTCGTGAAGTGCTGTAGTCATAGTCTTTTCAATATCCTGGAAAGATGGGAATCAGGAATAAATGAAAAATCAGCCAGGCCAGTCTAGGGGTGTTACAGAGATATTAAAAGACTACAAGGACCATGTGTTTGTGTGCTGTTGTTTAATAAAAACAATGCTTTACCAAAAATATACAGTAGACTGTATTGTATACTGTGGAGCTACTTAGGTGTGGAATTAGAGGACATATTTCCATGCATTACAGTACAAATGAACAGGGCAATGGCAAGTGATACAGCACAGTCACAGTAAAGGGCTTATAAATTTGTCTTACCTCAGCTAGGGCCTCAGTCTCCAGTGTTTTGTGGTCCCCCAGGCTGCTGTGCCGGGTGGCCCCTGGTACAGGTCTTAGTGGGTGGCCCTCAGGATAGGCCTTTCTTTCTGGGTAGTTAATACTACCAGCGCTACCAAATGTGCCCAGACGCCTTTTTTCCGGACTTTCCACACGACCTTTGCTAATGGACATCTTGTGTGGGCTGCTGGGACAGGCAGCAGCCCGTGGGGGTGTGTCGGCCACTCTGGTCGGGCTGTGGGTCTCAGTGCCACTCCTATGACGCGGGATTGCCGCTCCATCGGATCGTAACCTGACCCTGTGGATTGACATTTCATCCAATCATCCAAAAAAACCTACACATCTTTAAAAAATTAAGATAAAATATTATTTCTGTATGACGGTGAGAGTTTATCATTAAATGTATCCACCTTCCCATGACTCCTCCAAAGTTGTAATCAGGTGATTGCTCACATGGCGATGGCATATCATTTTTGGAAGACCCCTTTTCTTCCAGCAATGGTCCACTGCTTGCTTCACTATCTGCTTTCTGGCTGAGGTTATCTGAGAATGCATCATCCCTGGAAGGGAAGAGTTGGCTGTATTAAGGCGAACATATAAAAACAAAACAACAACCCATATCTAATAAATGTCTTATAAACTTCAGCAGAATAGACTAATAAGGGCTGTCACTTTTCTTTGCTAAAGTGGTCTGTGTTATTACGTACAGGTCTTGGACCACAATATATTGATGGGGGATGAGGCCATCCACGCCATTATGACGACCCTCCCACCAGTCTTCTGATGCTCTGTGGTACAGAAGAAGAGAGGCCCCCTTCTTGAACGACAGTTCCCTCGGACTTCGCCCCACATAGTCAAACCTAGCAATGGCCTCAATCTGCTCAACTTCTGAAAAACACACACACACACAAAAATCTCACATAAGTAGTTTGCAAATGTGTGAACCAAATGTGTTTTCAAGGACGATGTTTTTTAAGAACAGCCATTCAGAACAACAGCCTGCATGTTGCTCATATTCAACTATACCTGTATATGAAGCAATAATGGCATACAGTTTTTCCTAAAGTATTTAACAAATCTTTTCTTAGAAAACATTAGCAACATGCAAGTCAAAATAAACACAAAAATATTAGTACTTGAATATATAGTAATATATCTATTATATAGTATTATATTTATTATCTTTGTGCTTTTTGTGTATTTCTTATATACTATTTGGTTAAACTTATATTAATTTAATGAATACGTTTTTTTAACCTTTAACATTGAACTTTGTCTACTTAAAACAAAAAAAAATATCAAACCCAGAACATACATCTTGTTGATTTTAAGCAGGGCATTTCTGTTTACTTAATGTGCACCACAGCTGAATAACAAAGAATATCACCATTTATTTCAATCTTGTTCATTAGGCCAGCAGGGGTCAGTCAGACCTAACTGTTCAGCAGCAGTCATCTCCTAACAAGCACCCCTCATCAACACTCAGGATGTTCATTACTAAAAACCCACCCGAGCTGATTTAGAAAATCAGTTAAAACTTGATTTTAGTTATTGTCGAGAGAAAGGCTACAATCCCTGTAGAGGGAAAGCTCTAATTTACAATAAATCTATATATTTGCTTTCCTGAAAATGATACCATTACCAGTGGACATAAACTACAACTCCAAAGCCTGCTTTTCTAAATTAGTTCTTTTCTATCAAGGCCCCACAAGAAGAAAAAATCTACAGAGAATAAGAAGCCTTTGTTTTCTTTTCCAGGAGAAGGCAAGAACACAGGGATGGGGTCAGAATTTGTTACCAACAAAGGCAGTAGCAAAGATGAAGCACAGACAGGTTCACCCCTGTCCTCGTTACAACCTTGAGGGATATTTGATTCCACGTATAACCAGTATTTTGGCTTTAATGTCTGGCCCAGTTATGTATTCAAAGCACAGAAAACGACAGGGGAAATACTATACAAAGGAGAAAGTCCCAGGAGAATTGCTGACTAACTGAACAAAGAGCGAGCAGGAGAGGGGGGAGGCTCACACACACACACACACACACACACACACACACACACACACACACACACACACACACACGCACACACAGACACATGGATCAAAGGGGCTGTGCTGCATGCCAGTACTGTTTACTCAACTTGCAACCAGATTCAAACTTTACATGATCCTTTTTAATCAGACACTGAAATGCTTATTTCTTAGTGAAGGGTACTACATTTTAAATAAAGGTTTGTCTGAACTATAACCTTTCTAAAATATTATACTTTCTCGTTTATGAACTCAGTTGTACCAGTTGGCGAGAAAGGTCAAAAGCCTCTCAACATTACATCCAATGAGGTCAAACTAATTCCACTTCCCTTCTTTGTGACGTTGCATATACACAATGTCATCCCAGATAAAAACATATCATCAATACTAAAAAAAAAACCTCATGGGAAACTGTCTGTGGGTGCTCTGCCAACCTTCATCACTGGTGTGCGGCTCTGTTCCATTATCGGCCTCGTCGATAGTTCCTGGCTCACTGTGGGGGCTGTCACTAAAGCAACAAATACAAGGTGAAATGATACAATCTATTGTTAGCAATTTGCATCAACAAATAGCGTATTTAAGCAGATAATTGGAAAATATAACTCAGTACAATTAGAGTATAACTTATGTTGAAAAAATGCGTGTTCATCATCTGAGCACGTCAACACTGACCAGTACTCCTCTCCCCCAGTCATACACTTCTCATACACCGGACCGTCCAGCTCCCGTTGATTCGGAAATATGACTTCATTGTGGATGATGATGGTCTTGATGACTTCGTTAACATGTGCCTGACACGCCACAGGATCCTGACCGTCGGGGATGGGCATCAGAGTTGGACCAAAGCAGATAGCTAAATTGTACGGGTCCATCATGTTTTCGTCGCTGTACTGGGAAAGACTGAGGAGACAGCACAGCAGAATTAGATTTTCACATTTAACAAAGCAACTCTTTAGGTATAGAATATCTGCAAGCTAGAAATAACCTGTGACAAACAAGTAATCATGTTGTGTAAAGCGAGAATTAAACTAATGGTAATTTCGGTTTCAGGAAACATTAGTGCCAGGATCTGATTAGAACAGCTGCGCAGAGTGCACACACATCTTTCAAAGTGTCATCAAGGTCAAACTAATTCTGTTTTTACTTACAATCCTAAATGTATCTTCACAGCAGAATCAGACATCTGCTTAAAACGCATTGCGATCGACTAACCTTTTAACAAATCAGCTATCTGCAACCCATTCTTGGAAACTAAACCATCAATGCTGCAAGAGGAGCTCATAAGAAGCCTTTTTACATTTCTAGAAAAATAAGACAGAGCAGAAACAGCACAGCTGGAAAGCTGACCTCTTTGCTCTGCTGGCAAACCCAGTAAAATACATTTTCTAATACCAAGATATGTAAACAACTTTTATGTAACACATAGGTGGCTTAATATTTTCATTTAAACATCCATCCAAGGTTGGATATCCTCCACGGTGCTTGTGCAATCAAGTAAATCATTTTCTGTACAGCAGTGGTTGTGGCTTTTAAAGTTGAATGGGACTCACTGATTGAGAAAAGCGAATAGATATCTCATCACAATTATGACAGTTCTTGGAAGAGTCACAATGATCTGCTGCAGGTGATGTGCTCTCTCCCCTCCCGAGTCCAGCTCTGAAACATGGAAGACAGACAAAAGGAAGTGTAACGTCGTGGTACAGAAGAGTTCATTCTTAGTACCGATAACAAATTGACAAGCTGCAGACGCTTTTTAGCAGTTTAGAGGTAAGGCATTTCAGTTAGGCAGAGATCTGGGTTTTGTCTGGGTCATTGTAGCAACTGGACTTTTGTTTTCATAGATGCTGTTGCAGACTCGCTGCTCTGTTTTGGGATCAATCTCCTAACCCTTATAAATACTGTGTATATAGTTTTTCCACACACCATTTAGGAGTTTTGACTATGTTTTTAACTAATAAAGTCATAGTGGAATATGTCATGCTCAATGTTATCATTATTTTCTTTTCCTGATGTGTAAAATCTGTGAGTTGTAAAGTGTACTTTTTTTTTTTGGTACATGACAGAAGGACTGAACAAAGACTACCAGTAAAACAAAGGCAGTAAGTGTTCTGAAAACTGATATGTGAGCCTAAGGGATGCCCCCCCAGGGTTTACACTACACCCCCTAAAGTGAACAGAGTGATCAGACTATTAGAAACAGTGGGAGACACAGTCTGTGGCAAACTTGCACATGGCACTAGAGAGTGATGTGGCTTACACCCTCCTGTTTCTACTGGCTCACTGCTAGAGAGCAGACGCAAGTGCTGGAGCTGATATTGCTTCCATGTGCTGCAGTGTTCACACTTTAAGGTGCATTTCCCCCATTTTATCCATTCTGCTCAAAAGCCTGTTGAGGATTATTAGCTGACTCACTGATAGTAGAGATGAAGTCCAAGAAACGCTCCTTTGGGAAAATTGGGTTCTCCAGCCCTCTGAAGTACAGCTTCAACACTCCTGCCACTGAGTTAATATCATGCTCATTCTGGTCATCAATCAAGGGATCTTCACCTGACAAAGAAAAAATGTGTTCATTCAGCAGCGACATTCGTTGAGAAAATCTGACTGAACTGGTGTATTCTTAGCAAGAGAGAATTTGTGGACTCACCTCTCTCAAAAGAGTTTTTAATGTCATTGACCTCCACTTGCGACCCAGGAACCCTGAATATTCCTTGTTGCTGCAACCCTGTAAGAGATGCAAACCAGAAATTTCAGTTTCAGAGCACTGCCAACACCCATTTTCTCCAGACCACATTACCAGCTTCAAGAAAGCCTATTGGAAACACATAACAGAGTGCAGGAAATGTAATCTAGTCACAAAAGAGAGATGCGTTTTTCCTCCAGGAGAGGGCCCCTCTGTGAGCCTGCAGCATATGGTTCCAGTTAGAGGCTTCTAATCAGTTTTCTGTACTTTCATTAGGTCCAGATCCCGAGCAAAGGCCTGCAGGCTATAGCAACGAGCTGAAGACAGATGTGAAGGTAGACAGGAAAGAGAGGTGCATGCGTCTGCATAAGTGCACATATGCGTGTGGGGGAGGGGTGGTGGGGTGATGAACAAAGACCAATTTGACTTTCAAAAGTATGTGTGATCTATTGTTATGAGCGTGTCAAATCTTTGGCAGGCAGCTGAGCACCTCAGCGACTGAGGAGGAGAGCATGGCGGGCCAACCTCTGTACCTGGGGCTATATGTAGCAGCAGATTGCCTCATCCAGCAGCTGCTGTCACTTGTTACGAAGCCAAAGGAGTTTTCAAAGAATTTCATAGTTTGCTTTGATTTTCTGCATTTTAGCTAAAAAGTTACAGTCAGAAAAACTAGATGTGAAACTTACCGTACAGATTGATGTATCTGACACAGCTTTCGACAACGAGGGGAATCGGTTGACCTGAATCCTAAAATGAAATGAAAACAAATAAAAAATAAAAATACAACAGAAAGCAAGACATACTTAAAGAGTACATATGATGTATAATGCTATTTCAGATTCACTCAGAGATCATGAAAAAATCCAAACATTCCAAAGCAGCATAATAAAAGAAAAATAGCTCAATCTGTGTAGCACAACAGAAGCATGTTAATTAGAAGTATTGGGTGCCATATTATTTGTTTAATTAGCGATTTCTGCCTGTTTCCAGCAGTACCTGAATACGGGTACGGGCATTCCTTCTCCCTCTGGGAAAGAAAGCAGCAAAGCACAGAGAAGCAGAGGGTTAGAAAAAGCCTAAGGACAAATGAGCCCTATGGAGGTTAGGAAGACTGAGAACAGGGATTGGCATGAGGAAAGCTACAGAGGGGCAGTCACGAATGGGTGCATCGAGGGACAGGACATATGCCCCACTCTCTTTCGCCTCTCAGTTATCCAGAGTTTGGCTGTATTTAGGAAGAAGGACAAAGATGTTATATTGTTCTGGAGGGAAATAAAGAGACAGATGACTGCCACTCTGTCTGTGTGCACTGGCAGAACCATGAAAGGAAACAGGAGGATTACGGGTTACGCAGAGGCCAAATCGTGGCCAAAGGCAGCTGGAAGGAGGAGGAGCGAAGGGCTAAGGTGAGGAGGAGAATGAGTATAAAAGCTCTAGTTGATTCCCCTCCTGCACCAAAGGGGCTGCTCAGTCACACACCACCACCAGGGGGTACCTTTATGAAGGTCTCCATATTGCCATTAAACAGCTTATGGTTATACATGGAGCGTGGCCTAGGCTTCCGCATTTTCTGTGGTTTAGGGGGAAGGGTGGGAGGCCTGGGAACGATGGACAAGGGGGACAAAAACATCATATCTTGTGAAACTAAAAAAACAAATGACTCGTAAGAACAAAAAACCTGGTTTGTAACTGAGAAAAAAACAACTGGTAAAATGGTAAAGTCAAATGAAAATTGAAAGCTATATTCATCAAATTTAATGACTCAATTATATAAATTTAGTAAAAGGGGCTAAACCGAAGAACTTCATTCTTAATAAAACATAAACTACTAGAATCATTTTCATATACTTAAATATATTAAAAAGTGTTTTTTTTTTACTAATGTTTAAGAAAACTGAAACTAGAAAGCCAAGTGTGAAATCTGCTGAAATGAAACATTTCCACTCTGAAAGAACATCAATGTAATGTTGTCCTTTGTGGTATAACTCAATTTTCAATAGATTCTGTTTAATGCATGGTTTTTCCCCAAAAATTGAATTACAGATTTTTCTCTACTACATTCAAGGCATTATCTTTTAAGACAGAAACTAAATAAATACACTGAGCATGCCAGTCATTTAGTCACATTTTTTAAAAAGCACTTGTCCTGCTTGGCTGTAAACAAACGAGTTTTCCTTTTTTTTCTCTTGAGTGGACATTAATACTCAAAAACAAGTCAAATAAGCAGGTGTTTCATGGTGGGAAAGCCGGGATTACAAACAGCTCACTTCTCATATGGGATCTCACCTTGTAGTTCCACATTCTGCCCTTTCCCCTGAGAAAAAACAAACAAAAGGGCTATATGTTATACATAAGCACAAATACAGTCCAATCAGTATCTTGCCTCACTGAAGGGTTTCATGACACACAACATCACAATTGAGGGAGAGATAAATAGAGCCTGTGAACACTATTTATCAGACAAAGCCATTGAGCAGTCATCACTGAAGCCTCGGGGGATACAAAGGACCCTGAAGGGTCACAGGCCTCCCCCGGAGCAAAATAAAATGGGTGGGTGGCAGCTGCAGGTTTGGAAGGGAGGGAGCTGTCAGTGGTGACACTAAACAATGTCTGTGCTGGTTCACTGAGCCTATTGTTGTATTTATTTATGCAATTCGGCTGATGTCAAAGATGTGGGAACATTATCAAAAGGAAAAGTCAGAAAATCTTTGAGTAAATGAAAAGATGGCCTGAATGACTTTATTAACTGAGACTAAGGTATAAGTGAAAAAACAAAAAAACAAAAAAAAACATTGCATTATCACATCTAATAATTGGTAGAAAGATTGAATGCAAACCCATTTCTGAACACATCATTCTCGCAGATGGGACCAGGTCTCTGGAGCATTCATGTGAAGAAACAACTACACATTTTGCTTCCATTCCACTGAGTGATTGCCCTCTCTACCTTTAACCAACATACTTAAATGTTTTAGAGCAAAAGAAAACAATTCCACTTCCAATACCCTGTGATTTCTAATAAAAAATTCTATCAAATAGAAAAAGTGACAAAAAATGTTTATTTCTCTTAAAACTTAAAAACGTAGGGGCGGATTGATGACTTAGATCCTTAATAATAGAGCTTAATATTATGTTTTGTATTAGTACATGCAGCAAGATGTAAATGCCAATGTGGCCCTCACCAGCCTCAGCTTGTTTTCTCTGTCGTGCTCACACCCTCCCACGCACAGACAGAAACAAGCTATTTTGAGTATGTGGCAATGAGCTAATGAGCACGACTCACCCGTGATTGATCAGCTAAATAATTAAACATGGGTGGTTTCTGGAGACGCCATATGCTCTGCTCTTACGTTCTCTCAGCTGCACCTCCGTGGACACCTGACCCCAGCATAATGTGAGTATTTATGACAGGAGCAGCATGCAGCTGATTGTTTGCAAACTCTCATTACAAGGACAACCTGGAGTCCTGGAGATGAAACTCAACTTCAGGAAATTAAAATGTCCTTGCTGTGAAATGTTTTTTTTTTTTTTTTTTTACATCCAGTTTGTCAAGGCATCAGCTTGCAATTCTTTGTGTGCTCACATATTTGGTAAAGCCCTGATACAGGAACAGCTGCAGATATGGGCCCTGGTTTGGTGCAGCTGATTGATTGGGCGTAAACTATTCATGGCTGAGGTGACAAGGGGGTCCCTGGGGAAGAGGTTGAGCCAAGGAAACCCTCTCTCCTGTAGTCTGAAAATGGAAACCCTCCCAATAGTTATGCCACATAGAGACTAACTGGATCATACGTTTTCCAGAAGAAGAGATAAAAACAAAGAGTAATGGATGTTTCAGTGGTAATGGCACTCATTTTTAAAAATCATCCTGGATTTCCTCATACTTTTCTGCTTCCTTTTTAAATGATCTATGTCTTTGTTGGATGCAATAGGTCAGTTTTTGCTGAGATTTTAGAAGATTTTGTGTGTCATTATCAAAACAACTTCGTTTTTATTTTGTACAGCATAAAAAAAACTGCAGACAAGGAAAAGAAAAACAGGCTCCTTACCTTCCCCCAGTGTCTGCTTAAGCAAGTCATGCTTGGCTTGTAGCTTAATGATGAGGTTACTACCATTCAGGTACTCCTTGAATTTCTAGATAGAGATATGAGGGCGAGAATGAGTCATGACTGGCACTAATCGATCTCATGAGCCCCGCCGAAAACTGCAGTTTTAATAAATCAGCATAATTTAATTAGATGTAGTTTTAATTTAATGGCTGTTTTCAGAACATGCAGCAATAATAACTAATGGCTTCATTTTAAAAAGCGGTATCATTCCAACACACAGGCTGTTACCCCATTAACGGTTTAAACTAACAAATAGGCCAAAATCATCTTACTGAAAAGTAGAAGATCTCAGTCTCCTGTTGGTTTGACCTCCTTTTGGCTACATTGAGCTTGCTCATATATGACTCAGACGCCACGGACTTAATGGATTCAGTAGAGCGGCTGTGCTGAAAGGCATCTGACACGTCAAAGTCTTCCACTGTCAGCATGTCCTGCAGCGTTTGCATGGTGGCATCCAAAGTCTTCCTCACCTGGATTGATTTAAGAGGAGAATGGGAAAAATGCGAAGATGACATATGTCCAAATTATCAGTTTAATGCACACCATTGGTTTGCTCCAAGATATTTTCAAAGGCAAGAGGGTGTTATTTATGGAACTAGCACATTTGTAGAACAGTATGTCTGATTCCTGGACAATAAATTACCTTGAACTGCACTGAAAATGACAGCATCAGGATATAAACTGGACATAAATTGAGAGCAGGCAGCACCTCAGGACTGCATTAAACTATGGCATGAAAAAGTGTGCAGCTATGATGTGAAATTACTGAGGAGGACTTTTGATTAATAAATGCCATTTCCAGTAATGGCATGTCTCCTCCATTATCCTCTTCAACACAATGCATAGACTGACAGGGAAGAGATAGAGCTATTTGCAACTCCAACACCATTTGCACCTTTTCTTTGCAAAAAATACCTGCTTTCATGACTGAACAGACATTTTTTATATATAACTCTTAAGAAAATAAAACACGGTACTGTGACAGTTCAGGCTTATACTCCTGCAGAACCAGACTGATTGGACAATAATTGCAATGAGAGCAAATGGGGATGTGGCACTTAAGCATGATGGTCTGATAGTTCTGGGGAGAGCAAGAGAGGCCTTTTTTCTCATACATCCTAACCTCTTCATTCTCAATCTTTAGAGTTGCTAAGCGAGACTGCAGTTGGTGGTAGCGCATCAGGAGTTCAGTCTGGACCGGCTGTTGGGCGCTAACCTGACACACCTAAAGAGAATGAGGGCAAAAAGACATTCATTTTGACAAGCTTATCTAAGTAAGAAAATATAGGTATTCAAATCAGAGACAGTATAAATAAATGTTAAGTAAAATAAGTTGAAGCATCCAGACCATCTCACCTCATCTCCCATGTGTGGCAAATATTCAAAGCGCATGGGAGGACAGAACACCTGGTTATGCATATCCATGATTTTGTGTTTGTCACTGCGGGAGTCCAGGTTGTCCACGGCATTCTCAATGATATCCAGTCCCTCGTGGCGCGATGTCTCCAGGTTGTACTCTGCCGACAAGTAGGTCCTGAAGGTGCGTGCCAGGCTGGCGTGGTAGCCCAGGTCACAGCACTACAAAGACAAAATAACAGATAAATAATCTGAAAAACCGTTTGCATATGTGTCAGTAAGTGAAACAGTAAAATGAATATTAGAATATGTAACCGTGTGTCTTCTAATTAATAACTGCTTAACATTAGGTGATAATACAGTTGGATATATAATCGACAACCAGAAATAGACATCATCACACAAGTGGGGCTTCTGTGTGTTAAGCTGTTCTGTAACTAAACAAGTTTAGAGAATAATCCAGATTTTTTTGAATGGTGTATAAATTGGAGTTTCTTCAAGTTCAAGACTATTTAACTGACTAAAGTCAAATTATGTTCTGCTTCTTGTAACCATTCAAAAATAGCAGTGGAGTTTATAGAATTACAGGAGCTGACACAGTAGGACACCAGGGATAATTACAGAGCCTTATCACGCTGAGCTGTATGAAGTAACCTAGTTAAACAGTGGATAGCAGTGAGGAGGTTCAGAGGGAGCTTGGGGCAACTGACAGCACTGTAAATCACTAAGTAAACGCTCTTTAAAACTCTTTAGCACTGAGGAAGTAGTCTCTCTGTTTTCTGCCCAAATCTCATTGCACCACTCAGTCAAATTGTCTCAGCAGACACAGATCTATGAGGAGTAAATTAGCTTTTTTTTAAAGTAAGCAAACAGAGTGAGAGCACAGTCACATATCTGCAGAAGCAGAGGACAAGGGAAGCCTAAATTAAAGCGCTCCTGACGCTTTCCCCCTTATATTTCAAACTTTCTCATTACAGCTGTGTATATACTGCTCTTGAATCTCATTTGAGTCTTTAAATATTTACTCATTTGGAAGAACTTCCTAACAATTACACTTACAGTATCGCATTTAGGATGAATCACCAAAGAAGAAGAGTATCCAACAAATTTCTTCAATGATGTAAGTCACATATACAAAGCAGACATACTTTAAAAACACAGACGCCTCTGCGAGGACCAGGCATCACAAAAACACACATTTGTCAGCATAGTAAATTGTCTCCACATGTTCCTCTGCTCTACACACCGATGGCTCACACGCCTTTCTTCTTGCTGCATAAGCATCTGGTAACCAGCCTTTTTTTTGTTTTGTTTTTTTGGTATTGCATGCATGTCATCATGGGTAAATCTGATCCGGTGACACCTGCTGCAAGTGAAATGCCACATGGGTGTTCTTGAGTACTTTGGCAGGTGTTTTTTTTCTGCTTGGAAGGATGGCAGTTAACCTATTCTGCTCTGTCTGCATACCTGGTACTTGACATGTATGTTATATCTATATCTGCTGCACAGGTTACATTATTGCACTACGGATCAGGCCTTTAAAGTCATTGGTTTGACTCAAGTCCAAAATGTTCTATTGCTGTGTTTGTGCTAGAACTTGTCAGTCTAACATGAGAAACCAGTCAGGTTAGCAATCCAACAGTCCACAGCAGGATTCAGGATGACATGGACCTCAAGGTTTACAGACTCCATTTCCATAAAACCTTGCAAGGAAAAACCCTGAAATCTTTTTTCCAGAGACTGTCCACCTATGTCCATCATCATGCAAACATTTAGCCATGACTTGTGTTCACATCTTTGTAGAAATCACATGTCTTAGCATGACTAACCTGCAACATACACACCTGTCTCTGTGGCTAATTCTGCAGTGTATGATGGTCTAATCTCAATTTAAATTAAACAACTGAGCAAAATTATATGCATGTCCATCCATCCATCTATTTTTCCCATACCCACTTATTCCAATGTGGAGGTTGCATAGGTTAGGTTGCTGGGAAAGGCTGGGTGCATCATTAACAGTTTCCTGGTCCATGAAGCTATTTGCAGAATGCATTTTTGTTATTAGCTCAGTATTAGTTAAAAAACAAAACAAGCTTTTTTACGAGTTTAAAAACCCATTCAGAGAAGCAACACGGTAACTGAGATTGAATTCCTCGTGCAACACTTGAATCAGAACCAAAGGGTCACTTTGTAACAAAACACAGACGGCCTCTTGACTCAACGTCCTCTAATCAAATCCATGAAAGAAGAGGCAACAGAAGGAGAGACAACGCAGTGATTTGTGTGTTTGTGTGCGCGTCCTGGGTTATATTTTTCTTGATGACAGCTAAAGGCAGAGAGAGTTACAAAGACATGCTGAATTTTTTCCAGCAGAGCTCCCAAAAGCAACACCCCCGAAAGAAAGAGAATAAGAAAAACGATAGAGCCGAGATCATTCTCTCCGCACCGGTGAAGCCGCCTGGAAACATCAGAACTAAATATGTTTCAGTAGCTGTGCAGAAGCACAGAGCATTGCTCAGCTAATTTTCTTGTCACCAGCAGTCAGCTTTGTAATGCTGCAATTAGCGCCGAAAAAACGGTGGCAACTGCATTCAGTTTGGCCCACGGAGCAGCTTGAAAACAAACAGCTAACAGGCTGAGAGGGAATGAGACATGAGAACAGATGGCGAGAGAAGTGACAGTGCTGCGGAGTTAAGTCAACATCAGAAGTCCCAGCTGAGACATAAAAACAAACACATGTTCCTCGCGAATACTTACATCAATCATATCAGAGACGTCATGGATGTAATATTTTGCCACCACTGCATTGGTTGCTGCCAGGTTCAACAAATAGTCGTTCCGGGCTTTTGTGCATTTCAGCTTATTCTCTGAATACTTGGCTTGTCTCTGAGGAGGGGAGAAGAGAGAGAGCAGATGAAGGAAAAAACAATCAATGCGAGGGAAATCAGGCAGCAAGGGAGTTTAAGTGTTCACTAAGGCAGCTCCCGAACCTGGACCAGGAGACAGGTAGAGACGGAAAGGAAAGCTACGAGAAATGGGTTCTGGAGGAAGAGGTAAGAACGCATATAGTTTTACTTAAACTGTAAATACAGATAAATTATACCGTTATACTTTCAGATTGAGAGCGCAAAAATCCAACACAAGGCTCATACAAACGTATCTATTTATTTATTAACATAATTGGTAAAGCACAATACCCTCTTTAATAACACTGTGACTTAGATGCATGCATCTGATAAAAATGCAGTCACCTCTCCGTTTCTGGAATAGATAGTTTTACACATTTCACTGAACACTGGCATGCCATTTCCATTTTCAGAGAGCTATAAAAAAAAACAAAAAAAGGAAGTAAAACAGTTTTTTTCTCTCCTGCCTTTCCCCCCAACCTGTTTGCAGGCAGAACAACGGGGTGGAAGCTTTGTAAGAAGGCAAAGGAAAAAGGAGAAAATTCATCCAAATGCCACTTTATAAATAGCGTGCAGCTCCCAAAGCAGACAACATCAGGCAGCGCTCTGATTTTCTGCACCTAGGAGATGATGAAAGTCTCTTCTTATGCGTGAAGAAATTCAGGAGTAAGCTCCTGAATATGAAAGCATGGAAGCATCTGTAACACAGAATGCTCCAGAGAAAAAGAGCCAACACTTCTGGCAAGGAAAGCAAAAGTCTGGATAAGATGGGGAGGGAATTGAGCTGTTGTGGTGTGCATCTAGCTTAGAACCTACAGATCCCTCCTGAGAGTTTCTGACATTCCACTGATGTTTGTCTCTCTGAGACACTTCCCAAGTAAACCCAAACCCCATCAACATTTAGCCTTCCAGAATAGCTCCTTAAAGTTTTTTCAAAGCCTACATGTCAAACAGACGGTTCATGGTTTTTATAACACACGTGGATCCTTTGTCAATGTAATCAGCCTGCATTAAACTAGCACATACTTACCTTCTCTTTCATCTTTTCAATTTTGCGGACTGTGCTGCGTCTCGGCTGGCGGTCCTCGTGGCGGAGGAGGTTGACGTTGAGGTCTCCAGACTTGCTGAACTGCTTCTCCTCTTGCTTCTCGGCATCTTTAAGCTTGCTCTCAGCGCTGATGCTCTCAGTGTGGTACATGTGGTACGTCTTCATCACCTGTAGGTTGAAAGATAGAAATACCTCTTCATGCTTACCAACACTGAATTTTACAATTATTTTAAGGTGAAATTCTGAGAATCAAAGATTTTGCAAGACAACGTGAAAAAGGACAAATCTGAGGATTCAAACTGAAGAAGATTACAAGAATATATATAGATTAACAATCACTGTTTCAGACACTGTTTAACTATATATCAAATGAATAAATGTATACAATAATTTGTAACCATTTGAAGGTTTACAAGGTTTACATTACCGTCTCCAAATCTATCTCATACAGCTCCGTGCAACACCAAAACCTCCTGTCTCTGGCTGATTTTAGCCTTTTTGAGGCTGTTTATCGAGGGTCAGAGAGGGTGTCCATAAGACAGAAAAACAGATCTCACTACATGTGGACTATATAAGTGGATCTGGGGGCCCAGGGCTGTGTGTGCTTTAGTCCTTGTTTTCAGATCTCCAATTTGCTCCCTTACTCTAGCTTTTCTGGTGTCTGTGGTATTTCTACTTCACTTAAAGCCTTTTTTCCAATCAATGTTAGCATCCTGTCTGTTCTCTGCAATTACATTGTCCAACATGACGATGACAAGCCTAAGGTGACAAAAAGCCCTGTTAGACAAGAGAGAAGCATCGTTAATCTGTTTTAACCTGTCCCAGATGCTGCTTGAGAGGCTCCCTTCTTCGAAGCCATTTTTTATGCGTTGTAAAGAAATGCCCAGATGTGAGCGGCAATTCCAAAGTGCACATGATTTTCTCTCCTCTTAAGTATGTTCAATAGCCTATCCAAGCAGTCATTTCTCTTGCGATCAAAAAAGTGATGAGTAGTGTTCCTCTTGTCTCAATGTTGCATATCAAAGATTTGCTCTAAGATCACACACAGCAAGAATTTTCTGCTGAATACCAACCCAATAAAAATATTTTTTCTAGTTATTTTCTTGAGGTGGCTTCATTTAGTATTTTGCCCAGAAAGAGTCTTTTCAAGACACTCCACTAACTCTCAGGGGGATATGAGGTAAACACTTTGTTTTCAGAGTGAGACATCAACATACATCTGCTTCTCCCAGACAACAGAAACTAGGCTAACACTCTCCACCTGTCCAGGTTATCACTCCCCTAAAAATCTGCTAAAGTTCTATGTAACTTTGAATTGCTAAGACACCAAGTCATTTGCAGGACTGAGTTTAAGCTGTGTCTATAAAACCTGTTAGCATTGTACAGTCCTCAGAGATTGTTTGGTTTATGAATTATATGTGTTGGTCAAGCAAAGGATATTTCAAATTAAAACCTGTTTGATAAAAGCCTGGTTGAAAAGAGGAATGTTTTTTAATAGCATTCTATCTTTTTGGTCATACCTGCAATGTTATTGACCCTAACCTGCCCCCAGAGCATCCAGCCTCTGAGAGCTGAAATGACTGTCAGCTGTATAGGACAGAATAGAATAGGACAAAGCATGTATAGAAAATGAATTGCTGAATGCAGGTATTAGGTTGAAAAAATAAATGAAAACGCAGTAGTCACACAAAAGGAACCTGCCTTCAGTTCAATTGATGATGGCCTCAATCTGGGAAGAGTAATAAGGCCTTTTCAAAACAATCTGGACTCCATTATTTCACAATGGTTATTTACAAGTGGGAAAGGACAGTTGCCAATCTTCCCAGTGGTAGATGTCACTGTACAGCTATCCCAAGATTTAAGGTACAACGCTCTGGTAAACTACAAGAAACCACTGATGACCTGGACCGTTTTCTTAGCTGGGAAATTTCAGAGTTTGTGGTCAAAAGGTTCTGTCAACACATCACAGGTTATGGTGGTAACTGGGATACACCTCTCCAAAACAGGATTTTTCAGCTCTAAATTACAGTTTAACCTAGATGGTGCAATGCATAATTATGCAACGGTTCAATGGCGTGAGTGTATGCGGGTCAATCTACCCATGTGTGTTATTTCTTAATGGAAACTGTTGTTATTACTGGCTGCGAACCATCTGGACGCTCATTCCTTTTGTATGATTGCTTTGTGAATGTGAGTGTGGTTTGGGTGTGGTGCTCTGCTCTCTGGTAGGTTCTCAGTCCACTCAGTTGTCCTCTCCAGAGGCGCCTGGGCTACCTAAGCTCACCGGAGCGGCCTGAGATGCAGTTGTTGACCATCAACTCATTGCAGGATCTGCTTATCTGCCTGGGCTGAATCTCCGTTCATCACCTGACCATTATATTTTTTGCTTTGCTAATTCCAATGACTTGATTTATCTGAGCTTGTCTATGTTGTTAATTAATCTTGTGCTCTCCATTTTTATCTTTGGAAGTATGGGATGCTTAGTATGGGAGACAAGACAGAACATTGATGTTGATGTGATGTGAAATTTTTAGTCAAACTGAGGCTCTTGCTGTGCTTCCCCAAAGGCCTTACAGCTATATGTAACTCGTTTCAAAGTGGATTTGCTATAGAAAAATTAATAGATGAATCATTAGCTTCTGACATAATCTTCTTCTCAGTTCCTGCATCATTTTTAATGGATTAAATCAGATTACCCTGCACAATCATTCCCTTCCTCTCATTGAGTATGCCTTGGAATCTCTTCAAGTTAGATCAATGCAATGTATTATACCATGTCCATATCTAAGAGGGGCATGAGTGGGAAGTAAGTGTCATGACCCATATGTGACACACTGAATACTTGACCATGCCTTTTGTTTTCTGGTAAATTATTTCCTCCGCTCATTTGATTTTTCCCATTTTGATAATATTATACATGTGTGTTATTTCTTTATTCAATACGTGTCCACAACTGGCTTTTGACCATGTGGAGTCTCACTCCACCTGCATGAATGCTGTGTGAACACGAGCATGGTTTAGGTTCTCCAGCAGGTTCCCCATCCAGATCTTGTCAACATTGTCAATAATCTCGTGTTCCAGATGTTTTTCTTTGGAAATATTTGCAACTTGACACAGCAGGACCAGCCAAAGCGTTCTGAGAATCCGTTAAGTTTTACCACACCAAACCCTCAGATGCTGTGATGGACTCCAGTGTTGGCCTGGCTACACGAGCCTCCGGGGCATCACATCAGACATTAAGGCTTAATCATCCCCTTCCAATTCAAAAGTACCTTAAAAGTCTACATGAGCAGCTTACACTGCAGCTTCCTTAAAATCACACCTCAATATTTTCCCTGAAGGAACTTTTCCACCTGTCACTCACTCATTAATGCTGATATTCATTGAAAATATTGTAAATAAATTCTCTTAATGATCTTAAGAGTGGTTAATCGGCCTTTATAGATCAGAAGCTTGTGACCTTAAAGTAGAGAAAATATTATGATCTAATATTCCATGGGAAACACATATTGTCTACTTCATACTGTCAAACTAATGGTCTTTGAGGGAGAAACATTTGTGCTAACGAAGCATTTCACCTTCTTCCATAGCAAGAATGAAAGTCCTTTGGTGTGTCCCATTTTTAGGATGAATGAGGCTGTAAGTCAGCATTTGGATTTTAAATTCTCAGCCAGAAAGCAGCTAGAGCCAAGTGGAGCATGAGAAAAGGGACATGATGAGTTTTATTATGCAGCCAGAGGAGGAAGAGTGAATACAATTTTAAGACGCACCTTAGCAACCACACTGAGAATGGGTGAAAAGTAAACACATTATAAAATGGAGGAATTTTTGGGCCAGGCGTTCATAACTCTGTTTTGATTTCAAAGGCTTTAACACATGTATGTACTTGATAGAACCTCGTGCTGTCCATAACACGGTCTAACGCAGGGTTCAAGTCAGCAGATGGCCCGATCAGGGACGGTTGCCAACGCTGCCCTTTGGAGATTCACACTGCACAGATGAATAAGTCATATAAGGCAGCACTGACTGCCATATTTTCTGTTTTCCCTCAGAGAGCAGAAAATTGTTAAAGTTGCTTGGCCTTGTCCGGTTAGGGGGATTTGGCTTATCTCAATAAGACCTCGTGTTTCAGTGTGTTTTCAGTGCTCTCTGAAAATTCTACACCCTGTTTCATTTGGGAAATCCCATTATTCACTATTGAGTAGTTTGGCATGTTTTTTGCGAGAAATATGGACTTTTCTTATGTTTTTTTCTTCCTATAATTCCTCAGTTGACATAAAACAGTGCATTGATAAAAGAGAAACATGTAGCACCAGGGAACGCGGATCATTATTCAGATTATACATCAGCAACTAAAACAAAAAGTAGCATCAAATATAAAGAAAAAGCGGAGCTGGACGAGGGCACCTAAAATGAATAACACAATAAGTAATAACAAATGTGTCAAAAACACTGAGTGAGGAAAGAGCAGAAGTTTGGGTGAGCTCAGCGATGTCAGGAAGTGTGAGAGATCACTCTACAGGAAATGCAGACTGTTACTTACAGTGTAGAGTTCATTTGTCACCTTCACCAACTCCTCGTGCATCTGGATCCCAATGTCCTTGCTCTGAAAATCAAATGATATAGATCACTGGTGGCATAATAATCTTAGTACATGATGCTGATGATATAACTGTGCTGAGATGTGTGAGAATATCAAAGATTATTGGATTGATGACCTGAAAACCTTGCAAAAAGTAAATATATGACATGATTCTTTATGAAGTACTAAAAGGAGAATAAACAGTTTCACCCTCCCCTGTGTGTCAGTGTGGACTTTCACATTCATTCTCAAAGTGGAGTTGCACTGGAGTACTATCAAATTTAAATACCTAGTGACCAAATGATAATTCAGGAGTTTTAATGTTTTTTATCTGTAACTGAAGACTTGTATAAGTGTTTTACGTTTCAAGTGCCCTGTAATCACACCAGCATGCTCATGCTCAAAAACAAGGGACACACCTTCTCCAGAATGAGAAAGAACTGGTAGAGTGGGAGTAATAATGTTTTGTTTGTGTGGAGGTGAGGCAGACAGGCTTTATCTGAAGGCTGGGGTGTTCAAGTGAAAGATATGCCATTCTCCAACGTAATAAGCAGAAGCGTCAACTGTTATCTTAACAGCTAAGTGTGAGTCTTTCTGTTAAATAAATCCCAAATAAGTCTTAAACAAACATAAAACGATCTATCTGACTAAAAATCTGTGTGGGCACATTTTATTTCCATCACAGCTTATCAACTCAACCAAACTCCAGAAACAGAAAATGGTTAGATTAGAAGATGTCTGTTTTGGCTTCCTCCTGTTAGAGTAAAGGTTTCAACATGCACAGCCATAAGTAAATACTATACACATGGAGCAAAGGTGTATTTATATTTTATTACTTATTTTGCCCATGAATCAATGTCTCCTGGGCCTGCTGGACACTGATTCATGCAGCTATCTCAGCTTTGATGAGAGGGTTGATGGCTGAAAATTGCAGATAGCCTACCTGGACTGCTGCATGTGCAGCATGTTGCTGGTTATCAAATATGGCAGTTAGATTTAAAACAGTAGCAAAGTGCTCCAACCCCTCCTCTACAAGGTGTTTCTAAAATGTGTCTTTTACCACTGGGAGAGTGACTCATGCTTAATGGTGTTTGACAATTCAAAGAGGGATCGTGTTAAGGCAGAGCCTTTTCAGGGAGTGGAGTTCTGACTAACTCAGAAAAGAGTATAGACACATTTACGATTCCTTTAACTCCAAGCAATTTTTTTAGAGGCCCCCTTTGATCCTACACTTTTACCCCTGATATTGGAATTATTTAGTCGTCACAAACACTTATCTTTTGATTCCTATTAATACACAATAAAGTGAATAACAAAGATTTGATAGGATATATACTTTATCAATTAATCATTCAAGAATGAAACATACTGTCCAAAAATAATTTTATGAAAAGAGTTTAAAAAAGGATTTAATTCCAATTTTATCTGTATCTGTGTTCTTATCAAACAAGTAAGTTTAAAAAATGAACAAAGCTTCATCACAAATTTGACTTAAAAATGTTTATGAAGATTTGCACTTCTCTACATGAGAGGCAGGACCCCACAACGAGACAGAGGTATGTCCTACAATCATGAGTAATAATGAAACACACTCTACACTATCTTAAACTACATCCACCCACGATTCATCAAAGTTAACCTTCCTGTCCACACCCTGAAATGTATGAAATGTGCAACTGCTGAGTCAGAAAGTAACCTAATTATCAAAGCAGGACAAACTCATAAACCTCTTGCTGCTACTGCTCTTTCAACTGAATTATGAACTGTGATCAGATGAAAGGAAATGTAATAATCTTGGTAAAACTGAGAGGATTTGCTGTTTAGCGTGCACTGTTTGAGCTTTAAGTCCTGCCAAAACAAGCGTTTGACAGAATGCAATAAATAACATCCCTCCTCAGAGGTCTCCAGCAGCCGGTGAACGGCATCTGTATGCATCAGCGCCTCTGAGGTGAGCCAGACTGCAGCATGCTCTGCAGATGCTGACGGGGGAACAGGGAGGGTTCATCCAGCAACTGAACAACTGTGATGCAACACATTGTAAGAGCTCTGCCAGGCTGTATGGTAACAAAGTAAATGTACATTTAATGTACATGTACATTTAGCCTCAAAAAGGCTAAACTTATAATATTTAAACCCATCAATATTTGCAAATATATTCTCCTCTAAATAACAGAGAATGATTGAATGAGCCAAGAAATGGCACCTTCTGCTCTTTTAGACTTGCCAAATCTAGTATAATTATACCGCAATAGACAGTTTTGCTTCTTGCTTACCTTATCAGCCTCTCAATAGAGGCAGGAGGAACATAAACAATATGGAAAATATTGAAACTTTACAGGCAATGCAGAATTCTACCAAATGTCATGCTGAAAATTGGGTCATATATCTATGGATCAACAATGGGCGTTGGTTTCTAAGACACTGATCATTACATCATAATAAATGAGGCACATGACTTTTGATATGATACATCTAATTTGCAAAAAAATCTAATTCTTTCTGACTGGAAACCAAAGATGTTTTCAATTTTCCCCAGATCTCCATGAAAATATTCTGAAGTGACATAGCCATCCATTCATTCCTGCAATTAAGAGCACAGCTACCTGAGTGCACCTGGCTCAAGTTTTTCTCTCTATTCAGCTTGGAAAAGCATCCAGACGACGCATACAAACAGAGAATTCGAATGAACCCTAGAAAGTGTAAGTGAAGCTCACCTACAGGAAAAGCCTGCAAGGTGAAAACAGAATTCCAGTGTTTGGATAAGGCCTCAGTTATCCCTGCTATGTGCCGACAGTGAGCCAGATGTTGCTCACACTAGTAGGGGGCGTAGAGGCTTTGGCAAAAGGAGAGGCTCGGGCTGCTTCTCCCCAAGCCATTTTAATGCTATGTAGAGCTTGCAACACTCACAAGGGTTCCTAACACTTTGTGCTCTAGTGATGAGTGGTTGTAAACAGGGCGGGATGACTGTATCACTGACCTTCTTGAAGAGGCGGATGACATCCTCGCTGATCTGGGCCAAACGCACAATAACGTTGTTAGTGTAGATGTCGCTGAGGGTGGCATGGTCTCGACTTTCACGTCTCGTCTGGTTCAGCACCAGATACCAGCAGTTTACCGAAGACAGCAAGTGCTGGTCTTTCCTGAAATAAGAAACAAAGCACATGGCTGTTAATCACAGTTCACACTGGTGTTTTAGAGAGTCCATTTGATACCCATTATATATAAGTGGATTTATGTGTACATATCTGTAGAATATGTCTCTTATTTTTTTGTTTAAGCTAAAAACAGCCGTGTTCATCTTACTTGTCTTCTTGTTAGCCCCTTTTCCTAATCATCTGCTCCAGTATCTGCAGCTTCACATAAATTGACTTGCTGATGCTCATGCCCTTTTCAGGAAAACTTCAATTCCTGCCCTGCTGTCACCATGGATACCCCGGTAAAAATGAGAAAAGATAAAGAGGAGGCACGTTGCACATATTTTAGGCATGGCTGAAGGGCAGTGACTGTACATTTGTGATATCTCAACTCTATTGAAGTCTGTATGCCTCATAGTAAAGTGCGAACAATTGTGTTCATTTCTCAGTGAAGTAAAAAAATTATTTTTCTGTAAAAACGTACATGGTAAAATGGAATTTTGGCATTGTAATCCTTTTTGGATAGTACTGAATGTCTTTATGCAAATATATACATTAAGTTTAAGAATGCATAAAAAATAGAAGAGGGGCCACTTTTCATATTCACCTTTGATTATGTTTTTTGAAAAAGATAACATCAGATCTGAGTTTACAACCAAGTAAACAGGACATGTAAAAAACAAAGACCAACAGTTTTCACAAAACAACTATAATTTCCATGCTTCCATAGCGAAAGTCTTCTCTTCTCAATCAATTTGTCATTTTCTGCCCTCCATTTCACTCCAAACAATGCTATAGCTAGGAGGAAGAAATACATTCGTAATGTCTTATAATGGTGACCATAACGATCCAGAAGCTATGAGCTCTGATTGCAGCATAATCAGTTTAAACTCTTTCTGCCTTGGGTGCTTTCAAATAGTAGGACCGAGGTGCATAGACATTGAGCCTCACACATACATGCCTCTGTCTGGATCCCATCTAAGTATTAATCAATCAACCAACCTGGGAGAGAGACAAAGAGGGCGAAGGGGAAATGTGAGCACAGGGTGAGAGAGAACCAAAGCAAAGTGGGAGATTGAGTTTCACAGAGAAGAAGACGAAGGGATGAGCAGGACCAACATCAAAGACCTTCCCTTCTGAGAGCTTCTATGATTTTAATCATTTCTAATGAAGCAGATATGCAGGCACTCCAGACGGCTTTTGCCGTTTTTCTGTCTCAACTCTGCCCCTAAATGCAGTTATTAGAGACTGAGGGATAAAAACAAAAAAAGTACATCATCCTGACAGAAATATGAAGCAGAAATTAGAATAAATGATAAACTTCACCTGTTCATTTATCTCTTGGACAGCTCTTAAATGAGCATGCTGACCTGACAGGTACATTTTCATAGAGGCGAGCTGTTCAGTTTAAGAATTTAGAAATGTAGAGCTAATATGAAATAGTGGGGGTTAGCCAGCAATCAATCAGGATGACATTGGCTTGTGTTAAACTCTGACCCACCACTTTGTCAAAGCAACATATCAAAGCCAGAGTGGTTGGAGAGTAACATGCTGCTCCATGACAAAGACGTTTCTCAGCTAAAGTGACACCTGCTTGGTTTAATGTGTGGAAACACACAATGAAATTGCTGGGCAACATCTATTGGCATTTGTGAGTTACCTCAGAAGAACAATACAAAAGAAAATCTTTTCTTTACTAATACATACAGCTGATCCATGGGAGGGCCTGTTGCCACATCTGCAGTAGGGCCTGTTTTTTTTTAATGCATCTCAACAACTTGCCAATAAGGCACTGTGCACTTCCCACAAACATTAATCATTGGCCCACCGCAGAAGATTAAAAGTGCCTGTAGACCTTTGGTCCAAGCTTTTAACATTCAAGCCACTTTTTCTTGCAGATGAATATTTAACTTGACTATAGTTACAAATTCATTTATGTATATTTTTATTTGAAAGCCATTTGTGATTTTTAAATTTGCTCTGCATCCCTTCAAAATAATTAATCAACTTAGAAACAACAAAACAGTTCCTCCTAATATCTATATATATCCCAACCTCATAACAATCCCACTGTAATTAATTGTTTAGCAAGTACAAGCTTTATTGGCAGGTAATCATTAACTTCACACATTGATCTGCCTTCAAAAACATAACTAAACAAATACATTTTCACTTTAATTTCAGAATAATTTTTTTCCTTCGGATTTGTTGGCACTATTTCAACTGCTGGGACTAAACAACAGTCGACTTATTCTAACAGCAAGTGGTGACCAGTAAGAGGGGACAATCAAATCAAGGAATGAGAGGGTCTGAAAACGGAAAAGTAAAGATTCTTGTTGTTTTGGACAAAAGCCTAGAGGAGTAGAAACAAGATGACACAAAGGACACAAGCTATCTTGTTCCATCCCTGCTGCCCTCATTTTACAGGAATTAGGAGCAGAAGGTCGTTAATTGGGACTGAGCAATTTACCAGCAGCATCTTTGAGAGCCGAGTCTCTAAACACAGCACTAAATGTAGCTCTCAGGCTTGCTTTACAACACTGAGATGCCACCTTTTCTCAACCTAGAGGACTATCTATCTCAAAAGACAGACACTGCAAGATTAATTTCCCCCTCTTAGCTTTGTTTCCGCATTACCTTGCTATCAATTGTAAACCTGCAGTTAAATCAATTTTTAGGGTTTCGGAGTTGGTACTGGATGGCACCATGCCTTCGGTTTTTGGAAGCAGAATACAATTAACACACAGAAAAGGCAAACTATGAGCTCCGATAGTCTCAAGAGAAGTGTGAAGAAAAGAGAAAGGAGATAGGAGAGAGCTCTCTGGCATCATATTTCATCCATTTAATCCAGCAAGGCGATGACTGGCTGTTTACATTTTTTCTTACTTGCAAATATTCCTGTCCATTAATAGACCTGCAAAGAGGAATGGTTATTCAATATAATCTGTGAGTATTTGGAGGCCCCCTGAAAAAGACGAGACACATAGACTGTGGATGTGAATGGGGAAACAAGGACGGAGCACATGTTTGGAGAACACTACAAATAATCCCTTGAATGAAGGATAAACAGATATTTTGCCAGCTCTATACGCCACATACTCTGAACAAGTCAGTATTGTACCGAACAGTGTGGGTGCTTTAGTTCTGGTTGTACTGAATGCCACCATCTAATCACGCAGAGCGGCTGATGTGTCTGAGCCAGGATTTTCAGAAGAAGTCTGTATTTATCAAGCCAGGACTCGGCTCTGCAAAGGCCTTTAATCCCCTTCACAGCGCCTGCCACATATCAATGAAAAAGTCAAAGGAAAAGGAGAACAAGACAAACCGTTTCAAAAGACAAGAGGCACATGGGTATTTGCCGCTAGCTTTGCCATTTAAATTTGCCTTGCCCCCATTTTTAAGTCGACGGTTCAATGAATTTCATTGCTGATTTGCACATCATTTAGCTTCCTCTCCATTTTTTGTGAAGTAACAGAATGCCAACACTCGATATGCACAGCTGCACAGACAAACAGACCAAGGCAAGGCAGATTGATGGTGCAGAATCCATGAAGGAGAGAGACTGGCTGAAAAAGATCTTAGAAAAAAATCCAAACTGAGCTCATATGTTCAAAGCTGTGAAGCCTCATTAATACCTGCTGGGATTATCAACCTGGCTAGAGCAGAATACGGACTGCTTTGTGCAAAAAAACCAAGCCCAGAGAAATAGAGCTAAAAAGTTTACTCTTTGCCCCTCAAAGCACTAAAACGGAGCCAAATTTCAACACCATGGTTACAACTAATTAAATTATTGCTGTACATGTAGCTTTCTTCCCTGTGTTCAAAGCACCAATAAAGTTCTGGATACGATTATACAGCAGCACGCATCATTCAAAGTGAAGTGCATAACAGTATTCAGAGAATCTCTAAAGCAAAATGTGGAGTAGAAAGGGACTCCATTTGCAAATGTAATGCTAAAATGTGAATACATTTTTTTTTTAATTTACATCCTGCTGTTCTTAACGTGTATAGTTGCATCACTTCAGTGAGCAGAGGTAAGATAAACATCTGACACAATCTGTCACTATGTTAAAACCACAAATAAACCGAATAGAGAAGACAAAAGAAAAGAAGACTGGTGATGCAACCGAAATACATAGCAACTAAGTTGCCCTTCCGTGTTCCTTCACAGTGTAACAAAGGAGGCAAAAATGATCCTGGGGTTGCTGCGGTGTAGCTGTAGCTGCAGTAGCTGTAAATCTCAGACGCATTCAGCTTGCTAATGAATCAGCAGTGCGAAGGTAGCACCAGCACGCTTTAGGCTGGCATCCAGAGCACAGGGAAGTCCATTATGGTTTGGATACGCGGTTCTGTTTTGATCTCACACAAAAATGTGTGTCACACATAAATGACACATTTAAAAATAATAAGAATGATTATTCAGATGTTACAGAACAAGCTACCCCTTTCAAAATAAACCTTCAAAGAATTAAATGAAAGCCTGAGTACATGGAATGCTGCAGAGAAAGGGATATTTCAGAATTCTTACTCATGCATAGTACATCAAAGAATAAGTGGAATTCCAAATGAATTCAGTCCACTAAATGTAGAACTTTCTCAGTATTAAAAGCAACACAAGCTATTCTCTTTGTTGTCTTGCTGATGGTGCATACTGCATGGCTGGGCTGTATGCCAGCAAAGGGTTTCTATTGGACAAATAAGTGTTTTTCTTGCTCAGGTCCATTCAGTATTTTGGTGGCTTGCCATTAAATTAACTATACATCAGTGGTAAGAAAGGCTTGGTGTGTCTCAGCTGATTATCAGGATTTGTGGTTGCCTGCCTGTAGGCAAAGAGTTTCTGGTACAGGGTGTAATCATTTTGTGAATCACCTTTGCTTAGTAAAAGAAAAATCATGCAACATGCAGTCTGAAAATCTTTTGGTTAGTTTGAATTTAACCAAGAGGGACATGTTAGAGGGATATGTGTCTCAAGATCAAAAGCGGACTTTATTGATGAGTGTCCCCAAGATCAACTGAACAGTTCAAAGGTTAACTTACAAAGCTGCATCAATTGCAGAACATTTCTTTCTAGGATCGGCCAAGTCTTTAGCTCAAATACAGCTGGATTCCATTTGTGCACTATACACAATCAGTGCTGGTCTCTGATACTTTGCATGTACACTTACCTCAAAGTTGCAGAGCAAAGAATGATGAAATTAAGATAACAGTGTGAGGCACAATGCAAATAAATCATATTACGTAATGTCACAATAAATTAAAGTATAGATTAAAGAATAGTTAATAAGGCAGGTATGTTACACTCTATTGCAATAGTAATTACAATAGAGTATAACATGCAGTACAAACAATAAACAAAAACATTCAAGAAAAAGTGTTCTGTGTTTGCAATTAATATGTTAAATCTGTTCCAACAACACAAGTCATCTTAAAATGACTGTGTTCTCATTTAACACTTTCTTATTTAGTGTGATTGCTCAGTTAGGCTAAATGTATAAAAGGCTGTTTCATTTGACAATTTTCACCCTAAACCACCATTTAAAAAGAAAAAGGAAAAATATAGAATGCCGTCTTAACAAATAGTAAAAATCAAAAACTCCAGATGGACTACACACATAAATGTCAGTGCAGATTCATCTATGAGACCTGCTGCCAAATCACAGCTGGATTGGTGCACCCATTACCGGTCTGAACTAAGCTTGCCTGTTTGCCTTCGGTGGTTGATTTTGAGAGCAGCATAGCCCAATTTCATGCCCAGCATGAGCCATGTACAAATTTGTTGATTTTTTTTAGCATTTGATTTCGCATTTCTTCACTGCCACAAATCTAAATGGGTTAAGGCAATGGGTGAGCTCATTTCATTCAGATGCCCTGAAGCCTTCATAAGTCAGAGGTTACTTCACTCTTTTGTCATGTTTGCATTTGTATTTAGCTGATGAAAGTACTCAGTAGCCTTGGGAATGAAAGTCCATTTTCTTTTCATTTTTCTTCATTCAGTGAATGGGGATTTATGAATGCACTATTATAGTCCCATCCACCAGCAGATACTTTCCATATCTATGCTAGTAGTGCAATAACAAACTCTAATAGTTCATATAATTCACCTATACATCTTAACTGCATTATAAGTGTTGGTACAATAATGATAAGTAAATAAAATAAAAAGTCAGCCATATATTCCTGAACCCAGAGTCATTCTCACGCAGAGTTAATTCAGCTTGCAAGCATGTGAAAGTACTGTGACCGTGTCCTCCAGGAGTGATCTGCAGATTCAGAGCGCTAACTGATTTTTCTCGTCACTTTTTGACCTTTATATGCATGCATAAAAAACATCTCGTGGCCTGATGGCCATGTTAAAAAGAAGGATGAAAACAAAAAACATTATTTTAAGAAGAATCAGGCATTTTTTTAGATTATATGAATTTGTTATTTTCACTTTCCAAATTCTTTACTTACAATAGCCTCAGGCTCCCTTTATTTCTTAGAAGTTAAGTTTAACAAATTCTAACCATATCGATTACACTGATCACTCAAAACACAAAATCTCTGCCAATTTCAGCAAGCCGCTACACAACTGAACAAACTGCATGCCTATAACTTTGATATATAACTTCTTAATTACACAAACACATTTTGACATTTTGAAGGCACCTTGCCTTCCAACTTTGCCCTAACATAGCGTAAAGTTCACTCCAACGGTCTTACAGAGTATGTCTGTAATAAGAAATACTTTTTCTCAGAATAGAAATCATTGTAATAACCAGAACGGATGGGTCTCGCATGGTTATAAACACATTAGCGTTGATTGAGGGAAACATTAAGTCAGTCTGCATGGCCTGCATGAGAGTTAGGTTCCTTACTGGAAGGAAAAGAGTCATTAGACTAAAAATAGAGCACTGACAAGAAGCTGTTAAAGTAAACAACATCAGGGAAAGAAAATGCGGCCTTATTGCAAACATTCCATCAAATGCACAAACACATGTATGTGGGACAGAGCCAGCATCCAATCACCTACAGCGGGGAGGGAAACTCACTTGAACTGTTGGTGCTCTCTGGAGCTGCGGATCTTGGAGGAGAACCTCTCAGCCAGTTTATCCAAGCTGCGGGAGTATTCCAGTTCAATCTCGGCTTTGCGGCGGAAGAATTCCTGCAGGTCCTGCAGCAGCTGGATGCGGGACTCAGACTGCTGCTCCAAACATTTGAACTGCTCCACCAGTTGGTTGCGGATCTCTGTCCATTCAAACACCAAACAAAGGCTGTGTCAGCTGAATATTTAGGCACAAAATGAACACATGCTTTTCTTTTTTATTTGATAGAAATTCCTACACCAATAGTGCGGCTGGTAAGTATTAGCATCTGCTTCACTTCTAAATATTAACGCAGTGGTTTAATTCTTGATGGAAATTTTGCTTTTTCAATACCCAGCTTTGCACGTATACCAGTAACTTGATCATATAAAAAACATGTTGCCTTTTCAGTTCACAAAGCAATTTTAATCTCCGTGAATAATACTGAGGCAGTTTCTTGCAATATATATCAGGCCAGCAGTTACTTAAAGAAAAAAGGAGAGTTAATTATGGTGAAGACAAACACTGAGGCTCTTTGCCAAGCAAGTAATATCACCTGACCATGGGATCTCTCATGAATGTCCACACTGTTGATTTACAGTTAAATCAAACTGGTTTAATGGGAAGGCATTGAAGACACACACACACACACACACCTTAACAAAACACGAAAGAAACATTTCTTCTTAAGCGGAACCTGAGACTTCCAGGCAGGCTACAGATCCTTCATGACTGTGGGAGCCCCGAGCGAAACCTGATTCCTCTTTGCAGTGCTGTCATCAGTGGAATTAATGCCTCAACTCGTGAACACAGAAAGGTCTACTCTGATGAGTGAAATAGAACATTACGGAGGACGATTCATCAACGTCACTTCACAAGAGGAGACAAAACCTCCAGAGGAAAGCTGCATTCTTTATTAAAAACATTTCTTGATGCCCTCAGAATAATCCCTCAGTGCGGCTCTTCAGTCTCCGATTGAGGTAAAAACAAATAACAAAAATTGAAGAATATTCAAATTGACCTGGATGTTTCCAAGAAAAAAGCCATGCTTTGATGCTTACATACAAAAACAAATTGAAGCATGAGCACATAATTTGACATGTTCTAGTATTGAACATGCACTGAACTGACCTGATTTAGTTTGTTTTGTTTTTTGTTTGACTTTTAAAAGTCTGTATGGAAGCAGACATAAAATAAACATGAACTTCCGAATGACAGTCGCAGTATGTTGCAAGTTCCTATAGTTACAAAGTGAGTGAGTGCAAGTGATGACCTCCACAAACATGAAGAGGATGATATGTGGCAGTGACATGCTACATGCAGATGAACTGTTAAGTGAATGGCAAAACCACACAGGCTGTATTTTCATGCCTCCAAGGGTGTAATTTGGTCAGCCAAGCCCTCATCATGGATATATTCTGGCTCTGGCTGCTGGGGAAGCTGTACTGTTGTGCAAGGAAGCCTTTGTGATGTCGTGCCGCCTGGACTCAGCCCTAAACAGCATGCTTCACTCTGTGGTTAACCATTGTCCCAGCCCTCCTCTTTATTCAGGGGCCTCCCATTCTCTCCACCAGCTTAGAGCTCAGTTTTGAGCAAAACTCCAATACCTCTTAACTGCTTCACTCCTGTCAGGAATGTCTTGTGCTGCCAGGCATGCAGCTAGGTCCCCTGTTTGCAATGTGCTTTCTTTCTTTTGCTTGTGTTCTTTTTGTTTTTCTTTCTTAGGGAATGTTAAAGCGGGCAAGCCAAGAAAAATGCCTGAGGAAAATGTGACACCAGTGTGCATGAGTGACAGGGTGGACTTTTGAAAACATTCTTTTACAAAAAGGGAACTCTGAACCACCAGCTGCAGTCACTCTTTTGAGGAATACGATTGGAAAAATAGGTCACACACGCACACACACAAGAAGAGTGCCCTTCCCTCTGAGAAACCATGAGCAATTGGAGAATTATTCCCCCCGTATTCTCGGCTCTTTCAGAAGGTTCATTCGCTGTGGTTTATTCAAAGAGAGGGACCCCTCAATGTTTTTAGTAAGTGTCGGGAACTTGTGCCAGCAGCAAAACTGATTATGACTGTTTAAATCCTTTTGGACACTGCCAAAAAGCCAATTCTGTGTATCTTTATTGCCCACTTGCATAAAGAAATATTCTGATTTCCATAATTGTCTCCGCATGATTCGACACCAAGTGAAGAAAAAAACGGATCGTGATCGTAAAACATGGCTTTTTACACATTCAACTAATCTAATGTGTCTGCAGCTGTTTTTCCCACTTTTGAAAACTTAATCTGTATAACAAAGTGCCTTCATCTGCAACCACCTCATTTAAAAAATGGTCCGTGGAAAAAGTGACACATGCCACATTCTTGAAATGAGTTGACATTAATGATTTGTGGCACAAAAATGGACTTCTGCCAGCCAGTTAAGAATGTCACTGTTAGGATTACCCCCTTTTCAAATCATTCAAACTATTAAAGGGTATGCTAAGTAGTACATGTTTCATGAATGGAAGATTAGCATTTCAAACAGAGTTTGAATAAGCACAGCATAAATTTCAGACGTAATTATCTGACTAGATGTCTGACAAATAACAGACCTCTTCTAATTCAAAATGCCATATCTTTAATGGTTTAGCTTTATAGTTCTCAGCTGTGTTTTCTGTGTGAAGATGCATCTCCATGTACAATAGTGTTTTGACTAAAATAATAATAATACACCAGGTGGATGTGGGTGATAATTGGAACAGCAGAAATATGGTAAGACTCCAAAATATAAATAAAAGCTGCCATTTTTCTGTACCAGCTAAATAATCTAATTGACTAGCCAAAATACGGGGCTTCAAACCCTAAAGATCACTTTTCTCTTGCATGTAAATATTCACTGGCAATTATTATTTTGGGTAGCTCAGTAAAACCTAAAACAAATCAATAATTAGGACAAAAATGTACCTTATTTTACTTGTTTCCAGTTGTCTTTGTTTGTTGTTTGGTAAATTTTTGAAGAACGTGATCGTTTTCCGTTTAACTTCATAGCAAAATATAAGAAACATCAACACAAAGAAATTAAATTAAAATGAGTATTGATGGGAAATAAAGTGTGCTGTTCTTCCACATAAAGTAGTCCAAGTGTATATTTGTGTATGGTACAGGTACAGTGACCGAAAACCACTTAAGATTTAAACGACCGTACCTTCACCACACAACAGTCACTTCATAATGTTTTACACTGGACTGGTTCCTATTAATGGCATATTCTTAACCATATTGTTTTCATTATCATTGAAAGAGCCCTGTTCCCTAAAAATGTACTGTACACCTGTTTCAGAATGTGATCCTTCCTGCACTACTTATGAACAGGAACTGAAAGCACCCTGGACACTTGTATCCTCAGAGGACAGGAAGAGGAAAACCACTAAATACAATAGAAGGATGTTAGAAATGTCTGAACTTTGACCCTCACAGACAAAATCCTGCACTGGCAGCTGAGGTGCAACACATATTTCTAGTAAATTCTGTGGAAAGAGGTTTAGGCTGGTCCGACTTCCTGTGACATTTAGGGAAATCGTTACGCTGACATAGCATAAAAATGTACATTATTACTGCAACAATTCTCAGGGACAGCCCCTGTCAAACCTGTTAGCAACCATGAGCAGTGGCTTGCATAATGGTTGTATTGATTTCACACATCTTCAAAAAATATTTGTTTTTGGCTCTTTCACATTGCAAAAATGGCAGAATCTTCTGGTTGACAGCATCTGCATTAGAGACTTCCTCTGGCAGATCCGCACGACTTCCTGTTGGCTCCCCACCAGGAGAATGGCAAGAAAATTATTTACAGATGCAGTGCCTTAGTTCTTTAGGTTTTACTAGACCTGCACTGAGAGCAGTGGCTACCCAGTGGTAAAGGTTTAGGGTTACTGAAGGCCAGGGGCTGAAGTCCCAGCACCGCTGAGCTGCCACTTTGGGCCACGGATCGTGGCTGGGGCGCCATAGATTGCTTCAGCTTCCTAACCAGCTGTGATATGGAAAAAGTGTTTCCTCTGTGGGATCAGTCAAGCAAATCCAAATCAAAGGCCAACTGTAAGTGGTTCAGATTCTGCTGACAACAGCCATTTTACAAACATCCAGGTTTGAAATTAGCTTGTGAACTATGTCAAAATATTAAAAAAGACTACAATCACTGTGTTGCAGCCAGAGCACAGTATCTGTGCACAAAAAATAACAATCGTCTGTCTTGGTCCTAGACAGGTTCAGTTTGGTTCGAGGTAGCATCAAAACTCAGGATTTTTTTTTTGGCATGAATTTTTAGGCTATAGAAGAGCCTGCTGTGAGCCCTCTGGCTACTTAAGCTGTTTATTCTGAGTAAGCAAGAAGAGCAAGACTTTTACATGTGTACAAACTGACACTTGCTCCCACTTGAACGATCCAAATTGTATGTGTGAGGATTGGCTGAGTGCCAAAAAATTGTCTGGGGAAAAAAAGAACACTTGGGCATAGAAGACCCATCAGAAAAATGCTCTTGTCTGGGTCGCTTCTATAGATGTTTCCCTGTTTTACTATTTTACAAATAGCACAAAAAAAGACTTAAAGATGAACTTCTTTCCGAAAGTCAAGACACCATAGCTAATGCACTGTTGCAGCCTTTTGCTGCAAGTCTGCTACGAGGGAGGGTCATGTGACACCTTGTCGCAATGAGGCAGAGACAGAATTGGAGTGCGGTGAATGAGAGGGATTTTCTGCAGAGCATCCCGAGGGCAGCAGGGGAAGCCGAGCTGAACAGGGCAGCACGCCGGCTGAGGAGGATCAGAGGACACGGATCATTTCACTCTCAGATCAAGAGTAAAAAATCTGATCTTAAAAATAAAATAGTAGAACTTAATTAGGAAGCCTGATATATGGCCTGAAAGATTCAAGAAAGCATTGATTCTGAATACTGGTACTAAGAAAAGGACAATAACTACAAGTCTTCTCAACTTAATTGAGATGGAAATAAATGCAAAATAAATACTTCCTGTCCTTTCAGGTTCCCACCACCATCCAGTGAGACACACACATGCTCCACACAAAAGACACTCTGTGCCAAATTTCTCCGACCTAATCCCCAACTCCAGCTCTGCAGTATCTCTGCTCTACACTGCAGAGCCCAATCAGAAAAAGATGTGCAC